AAAAAAAAGAAGAAGAAGAAGAAGGAGAAGACCCCAGGGATATCTTGTTTTGCTGTCCTTGAATTTGGAGGACACAGTAGATGGGTGCCCAACATTTTAAGTCCTGACTTGAGAGTATGTTTGTAATCAAAGTGACCTTGGTACCCTCTTACTTGTGAGAGCCTGTGGTGAGGTGGGGGTGCTGCCCAGCTTTCGTGGAGGTTTGAACAGGTTTCATGACAAACTGGGAGACAAAAATCAAGTGAGGATCATATCCTGTGAGTCCTGCTTGGCTCTTTATCTCTGGCATTCTGCAAATGTAACATAACATGTCTAGGTGTAGATTTCTTTTCATCTGTAATGCTCGGGAGTCTTTGTCTTTCACATCCATATCTTTCATCAATTCTGGAAATTTCTCAGCTGCTTCTTTAAATAATGCCTCTCTACAAGGCACCTGGCTAGCTCAGTAGGAGGAGCAGGTGACTATTGATCTCGGGGTCATGTGTTCGAGCCCCACATTGGGTGTAGAGATTACTAAAAAAATTAAATAATGCCTCTCTGCAATTCTATTTTTTTTTTTAAAGATTTTATTTATTTTTTTGACAGAGAGAGACACAGCGAGAGAGGGAACACAAGCAGGGGGAGTGGGAGAGGGAGAGAGAGAAGCAGGCTTCCCTCTGAGCAGGGAGCCCGATGCAGGGCTCGATCCCAGGACACCAGGATCATGACCTGAGCCGAAGGCAGACGCTTAATGACTGAGCCACCCAGGTGTCCCTGCAATTCTATTTTCTTTTGGAACTCAATTAGACATGTATCAGCCTTTCTTTTTATTCTTTTTGTCTCTTATTTATTTAGCAGATATTTACTGAGCCCTACGCCAGACATGATTTGGGGTATTTGGCATATGTAAGCTCCCCTGTGGGTCTTTTTTTTTTTTTTAACTACTGATTTAAGTTTTTTTAATTTCTAATTTTATTTATTTATTTATTTCTGTATTTAGAGACAGAGAAAGAGAGGGATGGGGAGGGTCAGGGGGAGAGAGAGAATCTTAATCAGACTCCACATTGAGCCCAATGCGGAACTTGAACTCACGACCCTGAGATCATGACCTGAGCCAAAGCCAAGACAACTGAGCCACCCAGGTGCCTGAAATCCTTATATCCCAGGAGGTTATAGCTCTTTTGTTCTTGACTTTTGGCAGGCATCTTGGTTCCAGTTTTCCACCTTGCAAAGCCTTGTCCACTGAGCCCCTGGTGGTCATGACATCCCTCGCCTTTGGGTTTCCGACCTTGGCAAACACCCCAGGGCAGCTGCAGCTTACAAGCTGCTTACCGCTCTCATTTCCAGATCTTTGCTCTTGGCCCTTGAGGATTTCCCATACTTTCCTGCAGGCTCAGCGATATGCTTAAAAGCATGTGCGTTGTATTTCATCCAGCACATGACATCAGGCAAAATTACATCAAGAGGACTTTTTTTTAATGACATTTAGTCTGCTATAGGGCCAGTAATGGATCTCCCCTCGTGTGCAATCCTCCTGGATTCCTGGGGCAGATTGTCTTTAGAGGTTTGCTCTTTTGCTCAGACTCTCTCAACAGCTGCTCAGCGGTAGGTTCTATGCTGGTGAGTTGTTCTCTCTCCTTTCCTGGCTCTCTGGTCTGGGAAGTGCAGACAGATGGAAGGAGGGCTCTCTTTGCGCCCTGGTTTGGTCCAGTCTGAGATTCCCAGCTGGAGAGTGTGGGTGGGAGCCTTGTCCTCAGTGGGACCCTTGGCGTGGGCCTCCGAGCAGCCTCCTATGGGGCTGGTGTTGTGCCGTCCCCCGCCCCCCAGCCCCCGTGCAGCTCCCCAAGGCCTCAGTTAATGGTGACAGACCTCCCAGACCCTGGCGTCAGGTTGTCTGTCCATCCCCTTTTATTAGTAATGCTATTACCAACATTCCTCTCTTCCTGTGTCTTCGTGGATAGAGTATACATTTCTCAACCCACTTGTGCATCCAAAGAAGAAGGGATAAAGACAAATGCTGTATGATTTCACTTATATGTGGAATAAAATTTTTTTAAAACCCTCGTAGATACAGAGAATGGATGGGTGGTTGCCAGAGGTGGGGGGGTTGGGGGAGGGTCGGTGAAATGCGTGAAGGGGGTCAAAAGGCACAAACTTCCAGTTACAAGATAAATAAGGGGCACCTGGCTGGCCCAGTCGGTTAAGCGTCTGCCTTCGGTTCAGGTCATGATCTCAGGGTCCTGGGATCGAGCCCCGTGTCGGCCTCTACATTTTGCAAGGGGAGCCTGCTTCTCCCTCTCCCTCTGCCCCGCCCCCTGCTCGTGCTCTCTCTCAAATAAATAAGTAAAATCCTTGAAAAAAAAAGAAGATAAATAAGTCCTGGGGATGTCATGTACAGCATGGGGGTTATGGTTGGTATCACTGTACCCTATATTTGCAAGTTGCTAAGAGAGTAGATCTTGAAAGTTCTCATCAGGAGAAAAAACATTTGTAACTGTGTGGTGACCCATGTTAACTAAACCTATCCTGGAGATCCTTTCCCAATATATACAAGTAAATCATGATGTCGGACTCCTGAAATGAATACAATGTTATATGTCCATTGTATCTCAATTTAAAAAATAATAATAATCAATAAGCATATATAAAAAAAAGAGCAGAGTGGGTGAGTACATTGTGGTACTTTCATGCAATGGCATATTTACCTAGCAATAAGAACAAGTTATTGTAAAAAAACAAAAAACAAAACCCCAAAAAACAGGATATTGCAACGCACAAAAAAAGAATGAAGCTCACAAGTGTTAATGTGAGCCAAAAACACCCCTCCACAGCCCAGAAAGTAAATAAGCAAAGTTCATCAGTGATGACAAAGGTAGAAACACGGGTTGTTTCTTGGGCGTGGCGGGTGGGTATGGGCTGGGAAGGGGTTCAGGGGAGCCTGCTTGGATTTGGGAATGTCCTATATTTTGACCTGAGTGGTGATTACAGTGGAGTGTACTTAAGTAAAAATGCATCAATCTGGACACCGAAGATTCTGGCACTTTACCGCACATAAAGTACCTCTCAGCAGAAAAGAAAAACTTACTATGAAATATTCCAAACACCCCCCAAATGATACGGGATCGTATTTTTAAAGAGCACTTTAAAAATAACACCGCCAATTCAACGACACCCTTTGAAGTCTTTGGTGTAGACCATGCCTCTCCCGTTCCATCTCATCCCAGGTGAGCTCCAACCTGGAATTGTGCTGAGCTCACAGGGCCGAGGCCTGGGCAGACAAGGACTTAGGACGCTCCTTCCGTGAGATTCAGGCCCTTCGCCTGGATCTGGCCTTGTGTCCCCCACACCCGCAGCGCCTTGTGCTCCAGCCTGGCCCCCAGGCCTCTGCCTGAGACGCCAGGCCCCCCAGTCTCCGCGTGACAGTGTCTGCCTGCTCCCCTCTTCCTGCCTCCCTGCGCCCAACACCTTCCTCTTCCCAGCGGCTAACGTGGGGCCACACCGACTGCTGGCTTGCTGGGGTGGGGTGGGGGGTTCGCTCTTTTCTGACCACAGTATACAGTTCCCACTGAAGCCTTCACCGGTCAAAGAAACGCTTTTCCCTGGGGTCAGGGTGATGCATTTAGCGCCCTCAGTCTCCACCCTATCAGACGGGGACTGGTCCTTGGGGACAATGAAAAAAACCAGAAATCACAGTGGTGTTTGATAAGTCCGGAGAGGAAAGAATTTTGTTTGCAGAAGTTCTTTGAATTTCTTTTCTTTTTTTTAAAAAGATTTTATTTATTCATTTATTTGAGAGAGTGAGAGAGAGAGAGCACATGAGAAGGGGGAAGGTCAGAGGGAGAAGCAGACTCCCTGCCGAGTAGGAAGCCCGATGCGGGACTCGATCCCGGGACTCCAGGATCATGACCTGAGCCAAAGGCAGTCGCTTAACCAACTGAGCCACCCAGGCGCCCAGCTCTTTGAATTTCAAAATGCTGGTCTGGTAAGATCGGTTCTGGGAAGGACAGAGGCCGTGAACATTCAAGGCAGCTGAAGCCCAGAGACCAGGGTGCCGTTGAGCTCTATCCCAGAACCGTCTCGTGGTGGATACGGCTGATTGCTTGCCATTTGTCCCCACCCCCAGCCCCATTCTGCAGTCCCTCCATCCGGGCTGGGTGTGCCCAGGGGCTGGCCTCGAGCCTGCAACAGCCTGGGCTCCGGGTTGGGTGCAGCCTCGGGGAGGGGCAGCCGGAGGAGGGCAGGAGAGAGCCGGGGGCATCATCTTCCAGCTCCTTCCCGCTTGGGGTGGGGTCTTCTGGACAGCTCCAGTTCCAGTCACAGCTCCTTTGCTTTGCCCCGTGGGGTGGCACTGGTTCCCACAGAGTCCCCCATGGCGTCCCTTGGCCCTGGCCACACCCGTGCACACGGCCCCTTCCTTAAACTCTTCACCCACGGACGGTCCCCAGTGCCTCCCTCTGTGCTGATGCAGGAGCCAGCACGAAGCTTCCAGATGCGTTCAGCTGTTAACCTCGAGAGCCTCGTTCTGTCTCCCAGGGCAGCAACATCAAGTGCATAAGCCTGTAAAATGACCGCCGAGCTCGCAAACCCTTACTGTTCATTTGATCTCTAGAAAGCTGGCTGCAGGAGATAGAATTCGCTCCCTGAGGTTCTAAGTGTTCTCGCCGAACTCGGTGAACTCGTTAGTTATTCTGCACATCAGGGAGATTTTTCATTTTCTTCCTGTGGGCCCCCTCCTCCTTCTAACAGAGTCAAGTCCAAACCCCCAGCCCTCCCTGGTGGCCTTACCCGGCCTGCCCCCCGCTGCCCTCTGTCTCTGGTCCTCTGCTGGTCCCTGCTGGGCTCCTGCTCCTCGGACAAGCCCAGGTCCCGGTCTCCTGGGTCTCTTAAGGCCAGGCTCTCTGAGGCCCTTCACAACTGAGCCATTCACAACTGAGTAGGAATTAGCTGGCAGCGAACAGGACTGAGCCCCACTCCTGGCACGCCCCGGGGGGCCCGCAGAGAAAAGCAGACAACAAGGGTCCTGGACGTCAGTCACAAGCTTTATTGTCTCGAGCACGGACTCGCCACACTTCAACAATTCCACTTTGGGGAGGACAAGGGGGCGGGAGGGCTTGGGGATGGGGCACGGCTGAGCCCACACTGGGCAGGCGGAGACGCTCACAGGCAGATGGCTTCTTACCACCTGCCAGCAACCCTGGGGGCTCAGCCCCTCCTGGTGCAGGCCTTTGGCTGTTAGTAGACTAATCAGTGCCTCCTGTAGGCGGGGCGAGCTGCCGGATTTTGCTGGAGAGAGTAATATTTAACTCTGGGTTAGGCCACTAAAGCATCGCTTCTAGACTGTTGTTAATAAAACCGCATGCGAGAGCTACCAGAAGCCAATGGGGAAGTGGGGGGCCGATGGGACGAACTGGCTGCCCCCCCATGGGCTGCGTTTGGGCAAGGATGGAGGCCCCCCGGGTTGCTCCCAGGGCGCAGACGGCATACCCGTCCTGGTGCGCTTCGGAAATGCCTCGATGGGGTTTCTTCCTTGACCTCCTGCGAGGGGAGGGCCCCAGAGTGAAACTCTCCCTGACACAGGGGAGGTGGAGGCAGGCCCCCTGTGGGGACGCTGAGGCACAAGGCAGTAACCTATGGGCCCTCCAGCTGTAGAGGTTGATCTACTGGCTTTTCCCACCACCCACAGGCCTGGAGTAACTCCGCCGGGCTCTCGGGGCAGAGGGGAGAGGTGGTTAGATCTTTTCTCCAACGTCCCTTGGGCTCTTCTCTTGGCTGCAGGGGACAGGGCTTCCAGGGCTCTGGGCAGGTGCCTGGTAAGCAGGGGGCTGTTGGTGTAAGTGCCTTCTGATGAATGGGCCTGGCACGCCTGTGCCTGAACACTCAGCCACGCGTACCTGGGTGTCTATGCACACAGCTGGGCTGCAGGAACGTGCGCAGCGCGTGAGGACACGGCACTGCCGGGCCGGGGGCTCGATCCCGAGACCCGAGCGTGTGCATCTTCTGGCTGCAAATGCCCCGCCCCCATGGCCGCGCATGCGTGCGGGACCTCTGGGCGGACGCCAAAGTCGGGGCGTGTCTAGGTCAGAGGCTGCCTGGCTGTGTCGGCCGGTGAGAGGCCCGGTTTGGGGAACAGCTAGTCCGCCCCGGGGACACCACCTGGCTGACCGGTCAGAACATGCCTAGAGCCCTGGGTCTGGGCTCCCCCGCAGCCCCCCGGCCCCAGCGCCAAGCCAGGTGTGGTGGGGGATGAGGGGAGGGGCGTCCAAACTTTCCTAATACTGTGGCTCCTGGCCCTGGTGGCAACCCTCTGGCCAGCAGCTTGGAGCTACGTGTGAGTTGGGTGCTGGGGGGGGGGGGGGGGGGGGGAGAAGGACCTTGTCCCCCCCCAATACCTTGAACCTGGGCCTCGCTGGGCAGAGGGGCTGAGGGGGTTTGTACCACTGTTTGTGGGGACAAGAAGCCTGGGGGCTGCAGAAAAGGGGGTCCCCGCCTGGCTCCCGAGGACTGGACTGGCCTCCTCCATGCCTAGTGGGGCCTCCTCTGACCCTTTCCCGGGACAATGGCTCTCTGGGGTCTCAGGGGAACCCGGGAGAAGGAGGAGAAAAAAGGGAGGGCAGAGACATGCCCGGGGTGCCAAAATGGTCCTCAGGGCAGCTCCTTCTGGGGAGGGGGGGCCTGGCCAGGTCACCTCGGCCTCCCCCAAACAAGCTCCAGAAACTGCCGGGGGGTCCAGGGTGTCCAGGCCGAAAGTCCCGGGGACCAGGCCAGGACTGTACCGCTCTCTGTGGAAGGTCGTGCTTGAGGAAGCCTCCTGGTCCGGCAGGGGGGTCGGGGGTGGGGGATTGTCCGAGGCAGTGGGCACGTTATTGTTACAAACACTGTTCTTGTCTCCAAAGTGACAGTCCTGGCCCCTGCCTGGAGGGGGCGCCGCCGGGGTTCCGGGCGCCGCAGGCTGCAGGGGTTCTGGGGTGGACCGGGCCGCTCCGCGGTGTCCCTCGGGGTCAGTGCTTCTCCTGGAGGGAGCAAGGGCTTGATCAGCAGGTGTCTCCAGGAGGGGTGGGGGGTCAGACAGGAAAGGGAGTGGGGTGGGCTGTGCACCTGGGCCAGGTAGCAGGGACAGCATAGGCAAAGGTCTTGGGGCAGAAGAGTCTCTCTTCTGTGTTTGGGGCTTGAGGAGACAGGAGGAGGGGTGGGCGCAGTTGAGGGGAAGAGGCGAGAGCAGACGGGTTTTACAAATAAAACTGCTGGGCGCCTGTGTGGAGGCACTGAAAATGAGCTGAGACTCCGGGCCTCAGTTTTCATGTCTGTAAACTGGGACAGCCCCATGTGCCTTGTGGGGCTGCTGGAGGGACAAGGCCACACGAAGGATGGACATGACCCATCTCCCCTGTTGGCAGGTCCGGTGCAGGGTCCCCCCCCAATCCCTCCCGGCCCCATCGCTCTCTCTGCCCCTCCCCCACAGGCCTGACCCCTGGCAGATTCTGTGGCCAAGGTTCTCCCATCTCTGGGTGAGCACAGTGGCTGGGGTGGGGGGGGGGGGGTGGGCGCTCCACGGTCCAAGATGGAAGGAGGAGAGTTCCTTCCCCTGCTCTAGCCTCGCCCCTGCAAGGTCCCACCGCCAGCCAGGGACAGAGCCGTGCTAGGCTCCTCCCTCCTCATCAGGCAGGCACCTGGGACTCAAGCGGGTGTCTGTCACGCTGTGGGGAATGCCTGCAGTTAACTGTGCAGTGGGGCATGTTAAAACATAACAGCCAAGGGGAGCCTGGGTGGTGCAGTCAGTTAAGCCTCTGACTCTTGATTTCGGCTCAGGTCATGATCTCAGGGTCATGAAATCGAGCCCCACAATCATGCTCCATGCTGGGCATAGAGAGACACAGCGAGAGAGCGAACACAAGCAGGGGGAGTGGGAGAGGAAGAAGCAGGCTTCCCACGGAGCAGGGAGCCTGATGCGGGGTCCAATCCCAGGACCCTGGGATCACGACCCGAGCCGAAGGCAGACGCTTAACGACTGAGCCACCCAGGCGCCCCTGCACACCCCACCTCTAAACAAACAAAAAAACCCAACCAACCCCTCCCCACACACAACAGTCAAGCAAAGACATGACAATCATGGGAGTCATGGGTGCCCCTCAGGCCCGTTAGATTCTAGGAAACCAGTTTTACACCCTCAATTTTATAAATTACAGAATTTTCAGAGACCATTTAAGGACAAGAAAAGATGCTTATTTTTAAAAATATTCGGAGAAGGGGCGCCTGGGTGGCTCAGTCAGTTGAGCATCTGACTCTTGATCTCAGCTCAGGTCTTGATCTCAGGGTCCTGGGATCGAGTCCCACCCCCCCCCCGCCCATACCCAACCTGGGGCTCGAACTCACAACCGCGAGGTCACGAGTTACACGCTTTTCAGACTGAGCCAGCCGGGCACCCCACAGGGTTGTTTTAAACAGCGAGATCACCAAGAAAAAGCATGAAAATGGGACAAACACGGCACCAAAAAGACAGTGGAAAGGATGCTTATTGACTAAGAGCTGGAACCGGGAGGCGAGCATCATCTGGTGGGACCTCTGCTGGGACTGTGCACGTCGGGTGACTCGAATTTTTCTCCACTCCGCACACGTCCGTGAATGACATAAAAGGGCCGTGAGTATTGATTTTGGGGTCACAAGTTTTATCAAGCAGGTAGGTTTGCAAATAAGGAATCTGCGAATAATGAGAATTCTGTACATGTACTCACACACACAGAAAAGTTCAAGAAGGGTATCACTTAAAAGTGTCAATCCAGGTCATCTCTAAGAGTATCTTCTATTTTGGGTTTTTCTTTTCCCCCAGAAGTTTCCTAGTAGGCATGTAGAACTTTTATTATGAAAGTTTTTGAGAAAGAGAAACAAGGTGACAAGCAGATGAGGGCTGAATGGAGGGTGACCACCCCGACTGGAGAGCCTCTGGCACAAAGCACCTTTGTAATTTGGGTGGCTTTTTAGGGTTTTTTTTCTCCCGAGAAGTGTGAGAGGGCCATGGGTGTGGCAGGGGGGGTCCCCGGGGGCCAGGGCGTCCCTTACCTCTTGTTTGTGGCCCTTGTCTTGCTGATGGATGCCATTTGCAGAACTGGAATTGCTGATGGCCTGTTAAGAGTCCCAGGCAGGGGCTGAGTGAGGGTCACCAGGCGGCAGTTCCCGGTGTGACCACTAGAGGCCGCCAGAGGCTCTTCAAAAGGGGCGGGGGGAGCGTGGTCCCAGGACCCCAGGAGATGGAGGCTGTCAGGGCACGGCTGCATCCCCAGCTTAGTCTGAGCTCCTCAGGATCAAGCCACGTGCCCCCTTGGGGCCCCAGGGCTGAATCTCTCACCCGTTCAGACCAGGGATCCCAGGACTGGGCCATCTTCCCGAGGACAGCGAGTGTCCCTGGTCAGCCCAGCACTGGTCCACGGCTCACCTGGGACTTGTCTGGGCAGCTCCTCATGGCCTCCATGAGCTTCTCCACCTGCTGAGCCTGGTCCAGCGCGTCCCGCAGCGCGTCTTCTGTGCTCATCAGCTGGTGCTGCAGCCGTTCAAGCTCGGGCGCCGAGGACGGGTCAATGAGGGAGTAGCGCCTCTGGTCCGACAGGGACTTCTCTTTGTCCTGGACACAACAGGGGAGAGGAAAAGCATGCGCGTGAGCGTGTCTGCACGCGTATGTACGTGTGTGCACGTGTGTGCTGGGGGAGGGCGGTCTCTGCTCTAGGCCCGCCTTCTGGCCCTCCTCGTCTCTGGGTCAGGCCGTCCTCCCTCACTCCGGGGTCCCCATGGAAGTATCTGGGAAGATCCCCTGCCCTGAATTCCCAGGCTGACAGACGCTCCCCATTCTCCAAGTCCTGAGATCCAGAACCCCCTCCCTTCTTTCCTTCTTGTGGCCCCCACTCCCTCCACACTGTCTTTATGTGGGTCCCTTCTCTTCACCCCCAGACCCACAGCTCCATCACCTCTTACCCTCTAGCCCATCTGAATTCCTCCTTGGAACCCTCCTCCCCTCCCCAACAGGACATATGTCACTTTCAGCTTGCAAGCCTTCCACAGCTGTCCCCTGCCCCCACCGTGGCACCTGGGATGCACCTGCCAGCCTCCTTGCTCCCGCACAAACCTACTCCGCACCACCCCTGGGCTGGGGGCTTCCAGATCCTTCTGCTCCGCTCTCATCCTCCACCCAAACCTCTCTCCCTGCCAGGATTTTCTAACCACCAAGCCCTTCCCTAGTTCTCCTGTGGCTCTGGGGACAGTGCAGGGGGCCACGGGAGAGGCTACCTTGGGCAAATTTCCCAAACAAACTCAAGCAGCCTCTGCCCTGTGGAGATGAGCCAGAACAGGACTGTCCTCCTCCAACAGGCTCCGGGAAAGCCTCAGAGAATCAAAACTTTGAAGTCCCCACGGGCCCCAGGGCCTTGTCTTCTCCTGAGTTATGCCCGGACCCAGAGCCATGAGGACAGCAAAGGGCCCTGGAATCTGGCCTGCTGGCTAGGCCTGTCAGGATTGGAAAGGTGTGTAGCAAGTGACCCCCTGGCCCCTTGACTTCGCCGGCCCCCCAGCTGCGGGTGGGTCCTGTCCCTCCCTCCTGCCCGTGAGGCCTCCCTTCCATCTCCTCCCGGGCTGAACCCACGCAGCTAAGTGGGAGGGCAGTGAGGGGCTCCGGAGCAGGTTCCCACGGCAACAGGCCTGTCTTCCCAGAACCTGTCTTGTCCAAACCCTGTCCAAACTGACTGGGCCCTGTAGCTGGCCGACAGGCTTGTCCTGAATGCTGACCACAGGGGGATGGGTGGGGACAATTCTGTCCTGTGTTCCCAGCATGGCCCGGCTACTCCAACCCCCACATCCGGGGACTCAGCTCAGGCAGTCTCCTGTTCCTAATAGAGGAGTCTCAGCTCCCAGAAGCTCAGGGCTAGAAAGAGCTCTGTTAGGTCCCATCTCCTTCCTGAGACGGATGCGTGAATCCCCGCGGCAAAACCCTGAGGAAGGAGCTGGTTTCTGGAAGTAATCACTTCCCTGGATGGGGAGCTCACCACCCCGCAGGTCCCCATCCCTCTGGACAGCTCAGGGTCTTCGGAAGTCTTTCTTTGCACTCTGTCACCCAGACTGCCACACGGCCAGCCAGGATGTCTACAAAGGGGTCGCCTGTGGCCCCCCCACCAGCTATGTCACTGACCCTGCCCATGATTCTAGGGCCTCTTGAACCCTCCCCGTGACTTGGCTGTCTCTGGGGGTTGGTTCCAGGAGTTCGCCAGCCTCCGCTCACCCTGGCATCCCCCCCATCCCCAGGCTACCCCTTGCCCACGCACCAGCCCGGTCAGCTTTTCTCGCAGGCCCCGGATATCATCTTTGAGTTTCTGCTCCTTGATCCGCCACTCAGCCTTGTGGACCTCGCGACTCAGGTCCCTCTCGGGCCCCGGTGAGTGGCGATTGGCCTCCAGCAGCAACACTCGAAGTTCGTTCAGGCTCCTGGCAGGGGGTCGGTGGGGGGCAGAGAAAAACTAGTCAGCCCTGGCCCTCTGCTCCTACATTCCAGAGATTTGCCAGACGCGTACGGGCTGGCCTCGCTAAGGGGGGGCACTGGCTATGAAGACGGCACCCATGCCAGGAGGGGCCACAGTGGAAACATGGGGCATGAAACCATTCGGTGACAGCGCAGGAGGGGCCAGGATTTGGGGATGGGATGATCAAGAGGACTGGGCCTTTTCTAGAATGTTCTTCAAGTTTTAAAAAAAGAACAGAACATCTGTATAATGAAAAATTAAATAAAACAAAACATTCATCCAAGAGCGCTCCTGTGGCAAGACATTCTATTTTTAATTTTTTAATTTTTAAAAGATTTTATTTATTATTTATTTATTTATTTATTTTTTAAAGATTTTATTTATTTATTTGAGAGAAAGAGAATGAGAGACAGAGAGCATGAGAGGGAGGAGGGTCAGAGGGAGAAGCAGACTCCCTGCCGAGCAGGGAGCCCGATGCAGGACTCGATCCTGGGACTCCAGGATCATGACCTGAGCCGAAGGCAGTCGCTTAACCAACTGAGCCACCCAGGCACCCCTAAAAGATTTTATTTTTAAGTAACCTCCACACCCAATGTGGGGCTTGAACCTACGACCCTGAGATCAAGAGTCGCAAGCTCTCCCGACTGAGCTGGCCAGGCGCCGCCACATGCATATTAATAATAGTCTGAAAAGGGGCGCCTGGGTGGCTCAGTTGATTAAGCGACTGCCTTCGGCTCAGGTCATGGTCCCGGAGTCCTGGGATCGAGTCCCACATCGGGCTCCCGGCTCAGCGGGGAGCCTGCTTCTCCCTCTGACCCTCTCCCCTCTCATGCTGTTTCTCTCTCTCTCTCTCTCTCTCTCTCTCTCTCTAATAAATAAATAAAATCTTAAAAAAAATAAAATAATAGGGTGCCTGGGTGGCTCAGTTGGTTAAGCGACTGCCTTTGGCTCAGGTCATGATCCTGGAGTCCCTGGATTGAGTCCCGCATCGGGCTCCCTGCTCGGCAGGGAGTCTGCTTCTCCCTCTGACCCTCCTCCCTCTCATGCTCTGTCTCTCATTCTCTCTCTCTCAAATAAATAAATAAAATCTTTAAAAATAAATAAATAAATAAAATAAAATAATAGTCTGAAAAGGATATTAAAATACTCCTCTCTTGGGGCGCCTGGGTGGCTCCGTCGTTAAGCGTCTGCCTTCAGCTCGGGTCATGATCCCGGGGTCCTGGGATCGAGCCCCACATAGGGCTTCCTGCTCTGCAGGAAGCCTACTTCTCACTCTCCCACTCCCCCTGCTTGTGTTCCCTCTCTCGCTGTCTCTCTCTGTCAAATAAAATCTTTAAAAAAAAAAAATACTCCTCTCTTTTCCAACTACTTATCTACGTAAGGCCAGATTTTCGTAATATACTTCAAAACAACAAATGCAAAGACCGAATGCAGAGGAAGATAGGAGCATCCTGCTGTCTTCTATGAAGCCTGAGATTCAAGAAACTTGCAAAAATGTAACACAATGCCACTCTTTTCATGAAACAGTTTTTGTTTTGGAAAACGGTTACTTTTTATCAAAAGTGTGTTATTTATGTGAGATGCAACTGGCTTGTTATAATTTTTAAGTGGATTAAGAAAGATTTTTACATTTCTGTTTTAATTGCTAATATGGTAAATATAGAATAAATAAACAAAAGCTCTCTGGGAATCCTCCATCACTGTTGAGAGTTTAAAGGGATCCCTGAGACCAAGAAGTTTGAGAACCACTAGTCTTGCCTATAAGCTCTGCTTGGAGATCTGTGTTGAGAAGGATTCTGAGGCTTCATCTGAGCAGAGTATGGCCATCTTGGCGATGCCAGGCACTTGTCTCGCCCGCCCCACCCCTGCCCTGCCTCCGGAGCGGACTGGCTAATGTCAGGTGAGCAGGGTCAGGGTCAGGGCCAGGCGGGTCGGCCACACCGCCCGCGGCTGACTCACCGCTCCTTCCGGAGCAGCTCCTGGCTGATGAGGACCAGCTGGCCTGAGGCGTCGTGGGTCTTTCGGGACATGGCTTCCAGCTCTGCCTCCAAGCGCCGCTTCTCCTTCTGGAGGGCATCCACCTTCTTTTCTCCCGTCTTGCACTTTGTCTCCAGTGCTGAGGGTCAGCCGGCAGGGAAAGCAGAGAGAGAGGGTCAGGCCCCCCATGGGAATCTGTCCCCGCTAGGGGGGAGCCAAGGCCCGGGCAGGGAGCTGGTTTTCTCAGGGGACCACGGTGACACACCCCACTGACTGGTCTCTCTTGTCCTGCAGAGCCAGGCAGCAAAGGGCCAAGAGAACAGCTACACAGAGCAGGCCACATCCCCAAGCACATCAACACAGGCCCTTTGGTGTCGGGGTGGGGGAAGCAGGCCACCCTTCCCGAGACAGGCCCCGGGTGTTGACAGTGTCCTGGGCAAGGGAAAGCTAAATCTTCACCTTAGCTTTGGAGAGGTCTGAGGTCAACTGCCCTTTGCGGGGACCAATGAGGCCACGTGAACATGATGGGAACTAGACAGAAGTGGGGGTAGACAAGAAGTAGGACCAGTTCCCAGAATCACAAATTCCAGACCCGTGCCTCTCCCCAGGCTCCTCCTGTCCTTGTGTCCCCTGTGTCTTGCTCCCTGCTGTGGCCAGCATCCTCCCCGCCCCCCAAGTCTGAAAGCCTGGTATTTCATCTAGAAAGGAGCCGGGGGCACATACACTCTATCTGTGTGACCTATGAAAAAGTCAAGGCGAGAGATGGGGCGCCTGGGTGGCTCCTGGGATCGAGCCCCATGTCGGGTTCCCTGTTCAGCGGGGAGCCTGCTTTTCCTTCTCCCTCTGCTGCTCCCCCCTGCTTGTGTTCTCTCTCTCTCTCAAATAAATAAATAAATAAATATGTTTAAAAAGAAGTCAAGACGAGAGAGAAAGCTGATGGAACTTCAGAACACAGAGAACATAGAATTGGCTCTGGGGGAAGAAGGCAGCTGGGGTCCTCGATCATCTTACAGAAGATGTGGGGGCCACACTCTCCCACTCTCCGATGCTGAGGTGGAAGTCCATGCAGGTGGACTGGCCCACGTCACCCTCTCAAGGTAGAATGGGAGAGGGCACGTGGACCCAGGAGCCAACCCAGTCCATGCCCCCCTAGCTAGCTCAAGGCCCCCATGAAAGCCCCCCGCATCTGCCCTGCGGGCGGGAGACTTACCACTTACTTGGGCCCTGAGCATCTCGGTCTGGGACATCAAGGCTGTCACCTCTTTGTCCCTCTTGTTCAGCTTGTCCTGCAGGCCTAAGGGAAAATGGAGAGACAAGGGGCCATAATGTTCCAGGAGCAGCGGGTGAGGGTGTGGCCCTCCCACAGGAAGCCCAAAACGAGGCCACACTGGCCTCCAGGGTCCAAATCCTTCCCCACACCACTGGGTGACCCACTCTGAAGAAGAGACTCCAACACCACGTGGTCTCGGGCCATTTAACTCTTGGAGTCTCAGTTTACCTGCATGAAAAATGGGGATAATAATGGTGCTCATGTCACACAGCTGTGTGTGTTTGTGTTCAAGAGCCTCAGAACAGTCCTAAAAAGGATAATCTGCGGAAAGTGCTAGAAACACATTGTTTCCATAAGTTACTTCATAAACGTACACATGATACCCATAAAAATACCAACAAGATTTTCGCTCTTACGGAACTACCTTAGCTGATTCTAAAATCACTTGGAAAATAAGCAAGACTAGCCGAGAGAGTCTGGCAAATGCTTCTTCAGGGAGTTAAACACAGAACATACGGGCACACCCCCGAGAACTGCAACAGGGACTGGAGATGTGCCTCCTCGTGCATGTTTATAGCACCACCACTCACAATAGCCGAAAGGTGGAAACAGACCAGCTATCCATCAACAGGTGGCGGAAGAATAAAATGTGGGCATGTGATGGAATATTACTTGGCCGTAAACAGGAACAGAGCAGTGATACGCGCTACGTGAGCGAACCTCGCGTATAGTATGCTAAGTAAAAGAGGCCAGACGTGAAAGCCCACCTATGGTATGATGCCATTTGATTTAAGTGGCCAAAATGGGCAAATCCATACACAGAAAGCAGACCAGTGCTTGTCAGTGGCTGGGGGGAGGGGAGCCGGCCGGGGGAGGGACTGACAATGGGCATGGGGGAGATGAACATGTTCTGGAACTAGACAGAGGTCGTGGTGGCAGAACACGATGAACATACTAAATGCCCCCCGCCCCGAATTATTCACTTTAAAACAGTTAATTTTATGTTAATGTTGCATCAATTAAAAAAAAAAAGAGTCAAAAGAATTTTGAAAACGCAGAGCAGGAAGGACTAGTCCTGCAGTGATTAAAATATAAATAAAGCTTAGGGGCACCTGGTGGCTCAGTCGGTTAAGCGTCTGCCTTCGGCTCAGGTCATGATCCTGGGGTCCTGGGATTGAGTCCTGCATCGGGCTCCCTGCTTAGCCCCTCTGCCCCTCCCGCTCCTTGTGCTCTCTTTCTCTCAATGAATAAAAAATGTTTTTTTAAGATTTTATTTATTTATTTGACAGAGAGAAAGCGAGAGCACAAGCAAGGGGAGTGAGGCAGAGGGAGAAGCAGGCCTCCCACCGAGCAGGGAGAGCCCGATGGGGGGCTCGATCCCAGGACCCTGGGATCATGACCTGAGCCGAAGGCAGATGCTCAACCGACTGAGCCACCCAGGCGCCCCTCAAATGAATAAAATCTTAAAAAAAATAAAAAATAAAAATAAAAATCTACATGGCAGGGGTGCCTGGGTGGCTCAGTCGGTTAAGTGTCTGACTCTTGATTTTCGGCTCAGGCATGATCTCCGGGTCGTGAGATTGAGCCCTGCGTCAGGCTACCTGCTGAGCGCAGAGTCTGCTTGTCCCTTTCCCTCCCCCTCTGCCCCTCCACTCGCTCTCTTTCTCTCTCTCTCTCTAAAATAAATAAAATCTTTAAATCTGCATGGCACACACGACCGTAAGAAAAGTCAAAAGACAAACCACAAATGGGGAAGAAAATGTCTGCAATGTCATATATAAAGAGTTTCTAAAAACCAACAAAAAGATCAACAACCTACTAGGAAAAAAATGAGCAAAAGATGCAAGTAGAACACTGGACATGAAGAAAGAGAAAGGCAAGTTGAAGTTGCACCAGATAACATCTTTCACCGCTGAGATTGGCAAAGATCACAAAGTGTGATGAAATATCTTGCTGGCGAGGCTTGTGGGGAAATATACTTTCAACCACAGCTGGTGGGAGTTAAAGTTGTTTGAACCCCAAAGAGGAGAAGGTAATTTACTGAGGCAGTGTTTGTAATAGACAAAGGCTGGAAACAACCCACAATCCATCAGTAGGAAACTGGCTAAACACACGACAAGAGCTCCACATAAAGGATTATTCTGCTCGTGGAAGAGAATGTACTGATAAGGAACAGACTGGAACAGTCTCCAAGAGGCATTGTGAAATGGAGAAGAGAAAGGGGCGGAACAGCATGGGAGGCGTGACTGTGCTACCTAGGTGTTTGTGCATAAACAGCTCTGGAAAGGAACCCTAAGTCGGCCAACACCGTGCCTTTAGGGAGGGAACTCAGGCAACAGGGCACCTTTTGCCGGACGCTGCCCTTTGACCCACTGGAAGTTTATACCTATTTAAAAAATAAAGTTAAAGCCAAGCAAGTGACAAGGGGCTTAGCCCAGTGCCTGGCGCTTCATAAACCCGAGAGCCCAGGGTCCCGCCCAGCCCCGCGGCCACTCACCCTCTATAGTCTCCTTCATCCTGACCTTCTCCCCTGAAATGTCGTTGGACTCAATCATCTGAAAGAAGAGCCTGGTAAGGGGGACGCTCGGCCCCTGCGCCTGCCCCCCGCCCCAGCCTGCCGAGCCAGCACCCCTCACCCCCATACAGGCTGGCTCTCAAGGACTCGATACGGGGGCAAGGAGCACAGATGCTCTCCATCCTGCCCCCCCTGACAACAGAGGACCCTCTCCCCCCCTTCCTGCTCCCAGTGTCTCTGAAGGCTGTTTGGGCAGCTACCCCGAGAACGCCTCCCACCCCTTCCTTTGTTGAAAACGTCTATTATATTAAACAGATGTCTCTTTCCCTGGGACGCCCACAGAGATTAGTCCTGAAAATCTGTTTCCATCATCATCCAGAGGCAAAATCCCCGCCTTGGTTTCTCATCCATAAAACAAGCATCGGCTGCCATAGGGCAGTTCCCGGAGCGACTTCAAGAAATGCTACTTCCTCTCCCTCCAAGACTTCTTTTTAATAATAAACCCAGAAGCCAAAGAAGAAAAGATCAATTAAGAAAAAAAAAATGTGGATGGCAAACATCAGTAGGCTCCCCACGGCTCCTTGGAAAAAGTGTCCAGCCTCCTGCCCAAGCTGGCTGTCCTCTGGGCCTGCAGTTCGCCAGTCTAACACTGTGGGGCAGCACAGAGCTGAGCAGGCAGTCACCTCCATCAACCCGCCCCTCATACTTCTGTTCATACATCCCAAGCCCCCTTTTTAAGTTTCAGGCAGTTGCCCCTGCACCTAAACCCCTGCATCCGGGAGTCATGTGAGTCCAGACCGAGGCTCCATGTGTGTGGCAATTGAGAGACGGGCCTTCCTGAGGTCACTGCCCTCTCCTTGGCCTAAGGTCTGTGATTGAGGGGAAGGGGGGCATCCTGTAGAACCACAGCAGTCCAAAGCCTCCTCTGCTAAGGGACTCCCCATGCTCTGAGCAGCCAAGCGGGTTGCATGCACACAAGCGACCTCTCCCCTCTGCCCAGGATCCCGGGAAAGCCCTTGCTAAAAATGGTCCCTCCCAGGGCACCTGGGTGGCTCAGTTGGTTAAGCGACTGCCTTCGGCTCAGGTCATGTTCCCGGAGTCCCGGGATCGAGTCCCGCATTGGGCTCCCTGCTCAGCGGGGAGCCTGCTTCTCCCTCTCCCACTCCCACTGCTTGTGTTCCCTCTCTCGCCATCTCTCTCTGTCAAATAAATAAATAAAATCTTTAAAAAAAAAAAAAAAAAGGTCTCTCCCTTGGAGAAGGGGGCAGAAAGGCTGCCACAGTGGGACGCAAGGGGGGGGACACCGGCAGAGCTCCTTCTACAAAAAAGGCACCTGTCCTTGAAACTCCTGGAAGTTATTCTAGTGTAAATGCTCAAGGGGAATTGGACGCCCAGGGAGGCCCAGGGCCTGTATACAGGCAATGATCACGCTGCTCGCTGTCCTTCATCTAGGATTTGACTCATGTCATCCTGGGCACCCTCAGTCGGCCCTCCAGGAGTGGAGCTGGGCTTGACCTCTCCCGCTGGTGGGCAGGAAACCCTGGGAGAGTTTCTGCCTCAGTCTTGCTTTGCTCATCTGTGAGACAGAGCCAACACCGACCTTGCAAGGGTTAAGGTAAGAAAAGGCAACGTAGGTCCCTGCACAAGGGTTTGGTGGTCAGAGCTACTCAAAAGGCCCTTCCTGGCTGGTGTGGACACAGCCCACACCACCCGAGGCCTGGGCCTCCCCAGCGTGCTGAGCTGAAGAAAGCCGAGCTGGATGTTCGGAGGACTTCTAGATTTGGACCAGAACCGATACTGTAGCAACAGACGCTCTAGAACTATGCCCCTCCAGCCTCCCAGCGCCCACTCGGGTGACCCACGACTCTGGCCGTTGGTTGTTGCTCAGTCTCAGCAGGACTGGCAAAGGGGGCTGCCCTCAGGTCACCTAGGTTGGTGCTTGTGTTGGAGGTGTGGGACCCCCCCGCCCCGGGGACAGGCAGGGCTTGCCCTCCACACCACGTGAGCCCCACGGAGCTCCTGGTGCTGGCGCCCTGGGGAGGTCCAGGAGCCTGCCCAGTGGGACATGTCTGGGAGAAGCGGGGGCCTGGGGATTGGGAGGAAGCCTGTGCCCTGTGCTGAGGGACGCATCTCTCCAGGCCCGGGTTGTGGGGACCCAGCTAGGTCAGCTCTGACCACCTTGGGTCCCACGGCCACCCTGCCCTACCGATGGAGGATGAGGGGGGCCCTCTGTTCTCGCATGGGCCTGGCTGGGACGAAGGGGTCCGCTGACACTGGGGAGCCCGTCCCCGCACCTCCCCGCATCCCCCTCCCCCCGCAGGAGAGGTGGCCGCCTACGTTGCCGTGCTGGGACAAGCACAGGGACTCAACGGCCTGCAGTCTGTTTTCGGCCACCAGAAGCCTCTCCCGCAGCCTCTCGGCCTCCTGCTTGCTCTGGGCTTCCGACCGCTGCAGCAGCTCGTGGTCCAGCATCTTCTTCTCAGCCAGGGAGATCTGCTCCTTGAGGAACTCGATGGCCTGCGCTTGGCCCCGATACTCCACGTCCAGCTTCTCCAGCTCGTGCACCCGCAGCTCGGCGTCGCGGCGCTGGTCCTGGGCCTCCTGCAGCTGCAGACGGTGCTGGCTGGCCTGCATCTCCAGCTGGGCCCGCCAGTTCTTCCGCAGCCCGGCCACCTCCTCCTGGGCCTCCTGCAGCTTCTGCCGCAGCCCCTCCTTCTCCTTGACGTGCATGGCGGTCTCGATGTCGTGCTTGGCCCGCAGGTTGCCCAGCTCCAGCTGGTGCTCCATCTTGATGCCCTCCATCACGGCCTTCAGCTCCCCGATCTCCTTCTGCTGGGCACCCGGGCCCGAGTTCAGGGTGGCCTTGAGGTCCTCCAGGGACTTCTGGTGGTCCGAGGCCAGCGAGTCCAGCTTGGACTTCCAGTTGTCCATGAGCCCCATGTTCTCGCTGGTGGCCTGCTGGACCTTGGCCTTGAGGTCCACCACCTCCTGGGCGTACTTCTCGTTGGCCGCCCGGAGCTTCTCCACCTCCGCCTGGTAGGCCCGCAGCGCCTTCTCGTACTTGTCCCGCAGCGCGCCGCTCTCCCTCTGGCGCTCCTTGCTGGCCGTCAGCAGCCGCTCCCGCAGCCGCAGGGTCTCGGCGGCCTCGGGGTGCTCGGCGGGCGGGGGGCCCGAGTGCAGCAGGCACTGCTGCAACTCCTCGATCTCGCCACGCCGAAGGTGCAGTTCCTCCTCCAGCTGCAGCACACGCGACTTCTCGGCCACCGTGGTCAGCTACCGGGGAGAGAGGGCGACGCGGGTCAGCGGGCCGGCGGGCCGGCAGGGGGCCGCGGCCGGGGGTGGGGGTGGTGGGGGCGGTTCGCGGAAGGGAAGGGTGCCCACCCCACCCAGGTGCCGCCTGTCCTTGGCCGCCCGGCCCGCCACAGCCTCCCGAGACACTCCCCTGGCTTGTAGCCTGGTGATGCAGGGACTCGATGGTCCCTGCGGCCCTGTGTGGCTTGGGACAAATTGGTGGTTAAAAGAAACCACCTGTTTGAGGGCCTGGCTTTCTTTAGGAGGGAATTTTGCATTATCTGGCTCGGGGAGGGGCCCCAGCCAGAATGGGTCGATTCACTAGAAGGGCTGTCTGGAGGGGATGGCCGGAGAACGGTCTGGTTTAATGCCGAAGGCAGAACAAAATTAATGCTCCCAGACCCGCCTCCTGATGGATAACTGAGATCAGAGGCTCCATCCTCCGAAAACCCACCTGGATCACGACAATCACGGCTGTATTTGGAAACAATACAAGTTTTAAATCTTTTCCTAACTTAAAAAAAAAAAAGTTTGTTTCTGAAGGTGACCTTAGTTCCGTAAGTCTGTTTTTGTCTTTATAATCAGGTTGAACCCCAGATCAAGGTGCCTCACGGCGGAGGGCTCCCGCCTGTCACCCCTGACCGGGTCGGTTTCTGTAAGCAGCGTCCGTGCACACGCGTGCGTCCCGCACAAGCACACACGGTCACCCCACAACGGCCAGTGTGTGCAGAGGGACCCCTGTGGGTCTCCAGACACGCACACACATGCACATGTTCACTCGTGTGCTGAGGCCGACCTGCAGAAACGGACCGTGGCTCGCCCCAGCCTCCACCCTGCTCAGATGGTCTGAACCAATCACCGCGAGCCCGCTGTTGAGCTCCATGGTCAGAACTGCAGCTGGGCTGGGCGGGCCAGGTGCGGGGATGTGTGCACCTCCACGGGGGGCCGGCCCCGGGGCAGGCGTGGGGGGCGCGGAGGGCCAGCCCGGCCCAGAACCTGGCCCTGGGACTTGGCGGGACCTCACCCCCAGCAGAGCTTTCTCTGATCTATTGTAACTCAACAGCCCCACCCCTGGGTCTGACACAGAGTCTCATGCCCTAGGGACACCCCCACGGCCCCCAAAGCCCCAGGTCCTTCAGGCTAGCCCCTCCCGCCACCAGAATGAAGACCCCCTAAGTTAGAGAAGCCTGGATCTGCGGCCCCCCCCCCCGACCTCCCGCCTTCCTCAGCCTCCCCAGCCTGGGGAGAAGGGAGGTGTGGATGGGTTGTCACCGCGCCTGCCCATATATAAGGGGCAAACCGTTCCCAAGAGGCCCCCCATTTCTGAACATGACAAAGCCTTGTGTTGGCAGCGCATGGGGACAGAGGGCGGGGGAGGGCCTCGCAGGACATTCCCAGCTGGTGGGACCATGAGCTGGGGTGCAGTCCCGAAGACCCCCTCCTCGCCAACAAGCGTCACGTGGCAGTGGAGTGGAAGCGTCCCTAAACCTCGACTTCCCTCCTAGAAGGGGCGCAAAAAAGGCGAAACACAACGAGGATAGCAGCCAAAGACAGAAAATAATAAAACAGAGAAGCCGAAGGAGGCGCCGGCGGCCGAGGCGGGGTTACCCTGTTGTCCGCTAATTCTCGGAGGAGCCGCTCGGCCTGCGCCTTCTCCAGTAGCAGGCTCTGCTCCAGCTCCCCGATGCGTGCGTGCTCCAGCTGCGTCTGGGTCTGGTCCACCCGGGGCGGGTGGGGAGGCGGGCCAGGGGAGAGGAGTGCGGGGCAGAGGAAGCCAGAGGGAGAGAGAGACAGAGAGAGACAGAGAGAGAGAGAGAGAGAGGCGGCGTCAACTTCCGTGAGCAAGACAGGAGAGCAGGTCAAGGACAGGAGGTGGCTCGGGGACAGAGGAGGTCTGGGGAGGTGGGCCAGGCTGGGCCCTCCAGCGGCCCCCCCCACCGGGTCCCCATCTGGGTTTGTTTAAACGCCCCCCAAGCCACCCCACCCTGAAGAGGGTGGTAACAGGGCAGCGGGCTCCCTCCTGTCTCCCCTTGCGGCCCTGGGGAGGGGCCCCCGCCTATTCCTGCTCCCCATCGGGCTGTTGCTCATTTTCGGCACAGGATCCTGACACTGCAGGCCCCGGGATGGACGGCTCAGTAAAGGAACCCAGGACTCCTGGCCCCCCAGGCCTGAGCTGAAGGTGCAGGAACCAATTGAATGGGAAGGTTTTAAAAGATATCTCTACCCCATCGTGATTCTGCTGGCCTGGCCTCCCTGGTGGAGGCCAGGCTCTGACACCCACTGCCCTGCCCCGAGCCCGGCGTGTCGGTGCCCATCCCTCAGGGCCCCCGCGGAGGATGCCTGGTCTCCCCAAAGCACAAGAACGCTTTTGTTCTAGCTTCCCACGCTAACAAAGCCCGCCGTTCTCGGGGCATCCAGCCTGGCATTTGGGTTTCTCGTAACAGATCTGCAAGGGTGGCAGGGGCCAAGGGTGCTGGCTCCAGGACACAAGGGCAATCTGGAGACCAAGTTCATCGTGGGGAGAAGCCAGGGGTTCCTCCTCAGCCTTCAGCCTCCAGGAGAAGCGAGTTCCTGAAGGAACAACTAAAAAGGTTCTCTGTCTCTCTCTCTCTCAAGAGGGCAGCACGCCACAGTGCTAACAAGCAACCAGGCTCAGGCTCTTCCAGGAAATTACAGGCTGACAATGGTGTCTCGAAGTCAGCCCCTGGCAGGGGGGCGGGCGGGGAGCTCGTCCCCACCCTCCTCTCCCAGAGGGTGGGTACCGCAGCTCGGCCCAGGACCCACGCTAGGTGGAGCATGATCATAAATGATGACTGGTGGCTCCACGGATAAGAAAAAGCCCCCAGCCTCACAATTCCAAGTTTCACTTGGTATTCCCAAAAGGACTCCCCCCGCCACCGCCCTGCATCATCCCCTTTCCAAACTTTTAGCCTCCTGGTCTGTAGGTTGGGGTCTCCATGGGGACACGGGGAAATCCAGCGGACTTGCTTCAAGTGCTTGCTTAATTAGATAAATTCAACCACAGGAACGTGGGGGGATGGAAAACAGCCTCGAAGGCTACATTTTGGGTGGGGTGGATGATCGGGCCTTCCATCCGCTCCAGGGACACTGCAGTGTGCAGGATCCTGTGCCGAAGTGAGCAACAGCCCGATGGGGATGTGAGGACTGGGGCCACCACGTTCCTGCTTCTCACGCTCAAGCTCCCGGGAGTTGACGTTCATCAACCCACGCCCACGGTCAAGGTGCTGGAGGCCGTGTAAGGGTGGATGCAACTTTTGTCTCGTGCGCTAACTTTACAACCCAACCCCCGCATAGAGGGTGTCTCGGCAGTCTCTCCATCTCCATGGCCGAGAGGGGCAGCCACAGACTTCCAGCAGCAACATGTATCATCGAAGGAGGCTCCCAAAGCGGGGGACCCCCACTTCCCTGCCGCAGCTCAAATCTGGGAGCTCGGCCAAGCCTTGCCTACACCCCGCACCTGCCGCTCAGCCTCTCCTCGCAATGTGTCCACACGCCGGGGAAGAGCAGACACTGCCCTGGGATACCCCTTGGGTAACTGATGGCTGGAATTGTTATGTGGGGGAGATTCCCCACCTGCACTAGGGGCTCCTGGAGGTCAGAGGCATGCGTCACTGCTCTTGACCTCTCTTTAGTCCTCACAGCGCACAGATCAACAGAGAGCTGCTTCTGAGTTCACAAGCCTGGCGCTCCCTGTTACCACGGGTCCTCCCATGCAAGTAATCAAGTGACCCAATGGGTACTATTTAATTAACAAAATCGTAACACGTAAGCCCTGGATGATTGATTAATCAACAACAGCCAAATCCCAGTAAGGTCGAGCCCCCACTCGGATGGGAGAGGCACACACATTTTCACGGTGCAACGTGGCAAACATCCGTTCGAGAATCAGAAAACCTGTCTCCAGCCTGTGACCTGGGATTCCCACCCTGGGAGAAGCACCTTCCCCGTGATCCTGCCCTGTTTCTGGCAGTGGGGACATAAAGGTGGATGAGACAGACAGGGTCCCCGCCCCCCAGGGGTGTACATTGCGGGGAGGGACGCAAACAACAGAGGATTTCAGGTTGTGGTTGGAGCTGGGAACAGGGCTCAGGTGAGGGGCACAGGGGGTGGACGTAATATCGAAGAGGCAGAGGTGGCTTCTCTGAAAAATATTGCGGAAGGTGAGGCCCGAAGGAGAAGCAGGATTCAGCACACGGAGAAGTTCAGAGGCAGACAGAGCTTGGGGCGTCCAGGAACATGGGTGCACAGGGTGGGGTCCCCAAGGGGCTCCTCTGGGCCACTCTGGAAGAGCCTACCTTTACCTGGGGTCGTGGTGCCAGATGTGTGAGCAGGGAAGCGGCAGGGGCTGGTTTGCCTCTTTAAGACATTTGGTCAGCGGTCTGCTTTACAGTAACACGGAGAGGGGGCTGTGGGTGGTGGGGGGGAGAGCTGGAACAAGATCGGCCATGAGTTGATAATCACTAAAGCCCGCTGACGGGCCAATGATGAGAGTTCATCATACCTTCTTCCCTACTTATGTGTAGGCTCAAAATTCCCCAGTGTTAAAAATCCCAAAGCTGTATTTTTAAGGGTTATCTGGCTTCAGTGTGGAGAATGGGGAGCGGAAGAACACGGGAGGTGCAAAGTAGGGGCCGGCGCAGTTGTCCGAGGCAAGGTGCTGGGGTCTGGCCCAGGAAGGTGGCTATGGGGAGGAAAAGAATTTTGGAGGCAAGGTCAAGGTCAGGAGGATTTCTGATGGGAGGGATGAAGGAAAGATTCAAGATAAGTCAGCTAAGCAACCATCTGTGGGGTTGTGGGGCCAACTGCTGAGATGGGGGGGTCAGGAAATAAATAGAGAGATCTGTCTTGCACATGTTCCATTTAGGATGCTGTACTGGGTTGAACGGTGTCCCCCAAAACCTCACCTTTACCTGGAGCCTCCGAATGGGACTTTGTTTTGGAAGAGGAATCTCTGCACATGTGATTAGTTAAGATGAAGTCATACTGGATTAAGGTGGACCCCAACCCCAATGACTGGTGTCCTTATTCGAAGGCCAAGTCAGAGACACAGGAACATGCAGAGGCAAAGGCCATGTGGTGACAAAGCCAGTGACTCAGTTACAAGCCGAGGGATGCCAAGGGTCGCCAGGAGCCTTACCGGAGCTGGGAGAGAGGCGTGGAACAGGTTCTCCCTCAAGCCTCCAAAGGAAGCACGCATGCCCATCCCTTGATTTCAGATGTCTGGCTTCCAGAACATCGAGAGAATAAGTTTGCATTGTTTTAAACCACCGAATCGTGGTGATTTGTTACAGTAGCCCCTGGAAACTGCTACAGACCCCCGTCACTCCCTCTCCCTGGGGGAGATGTCCAGTAGGCGCGCCAGTGTGGCTCTCGGGGGGGGGCGGGGCGAGGGAATCGTGAGCTCACAGAGGACACCGAATGACACAGACTGGAAGCTCTCAACAGCGTAGATCCAGGGGCCAAGGGGCCCTGAGACAGGCCGACGTCTAGAGATCAGGAAGGAGGCTACGAGGCTGGAACCGGGGAGTGAGGCCAGGAGGAGGACAAGCAGAGAGATGGGGTGACAGCTGGTGGGAGACCAGGAGCTCACAGGAATGCTCTGGGTTTTATTTTTGACTCCCGAGACGGGTGGGTGTGAGCGGAACTCTGGGACCATTTGTGTTCAGGTCGTCATGAATATGGTCACAGGAAAAACAGCAGCAAGAGGACCCCAGCGCCCCTTGACTGTCACTGTCTGTCACGGTCTCTCCCAGCCTCTCCCAGCTGAAGGAGCGGGGATGGACACCTGATCCAAAGCCAGCCAGCTCATTGGCTAGCCTGGGACCAATCAGATTCTCTCCAGAGGACGGAGGCTTGGGCTGATGGGAGGTGGGTGCTGGAGCCTGGGCCCCGGGGCCAGGAGGCTAGTGGGTGGGCGGGGCCAGAAGTGGGTGGGGCCAGAAGTGGGTGGGCGGGGCCAGGAGAGGGGGTGGGGGGGCAGTGGTGGTTGGGGAGCCAGGACAAGGGAGCAAACGTGCCAAGAGCCCAGGAGACACAATGAGAGAGAAAAAGAGTCAGACAGACGTGCAGACTGACCACGAGTCAAGAGCAGAGGGAAGCCCCTGAGCAGAGAATGAATGGGTGTGGATTCTCAGGCTATTTCTTGCCTTGGGTCCTTGAACTCCCGGTGACAGTTCCCTATAGACTTTCAATAAACCCCGTTGAGTGAAGTGCGCAGGAGGGGTCTCTGTCCCTTGCAAGCACAGGTGCTTTTTCCAGAAGCCCACCCCAACTCCTGCAAGATGGCAGCCACCCAGCAGGAAAGCCAGCCACAGACAACCACATGACCTGTCCCCTTGGCTAAGAGGGAAGCGTACAAGAGAACATCCTAATAATGCTGGGCTGGGGCTCCTACACTGGGGTTGTACCCCGACATCCATCCTTAAAGCTCAGGTGAAAAAATCTCCCAGATGGCACACGTCCCTCCCCTAGCCGGGGTCATCCAGGGACAGGACAACCCCAGGCACACTTTTGCTGGGCAACGAAGACATGGGCTCTTAAGGCAGCTCCTTCACAAAATCAGAAACCATAATATCCAATTTGAGCTCAGAAATGATCTAGTGCAGGGGCGCCTGTCTTGCTCAGTCAGTGGAGCATGAGACTCTTGATCTCGGGTTTGTGAGTTTGAGCTCCATGTTGGGTGTAGGGATTCCTTAAAAATAAAATCTTAAAAAAAAAAAGATCTAGTGCAATGATCCCCAAAGTATCGTCCCTAGACGGGCATCCACCTGGGAACCTTCTAGAAATGCAAATTCTCAGGTCCCACCCTGACCTACCGAACAGCCACTCTGAGGCTGGGCCCAGCACTGTGTCTGAACACACCCTCTAGGTGATGAATTCTTAAGTCTAAGAATCACCGACCTAGTTCAACCTCCTGATTTTGCAGATGAGCAAAGTGAGGCCTGGGGAGGGGAGGGACTGCCCAGGGCCAGTTAGGCCCAGGCCAGCATGTGGAGGACTGAACTCACTGTCCCCTGCCCCATCTGATAGCTCCAGGAGTCCTCATCCCTTGTCACCTCCCAGGGAGCTAGGAGGACCACAGCAGCGAAGCATTCCTGCCCACCCAACGGTGGCCTCGTGAGCCCTGAGGTCTCTGCATGATATGGTGAGGAAGGCTGGGGGTGGCTGGGGGCCTTCACTAACTGATGGGAGCACCCCCTGTCCCTCAGCTCAGAGACAGTGGGGTGGAGCGGAGAGTGAAAGGTTCACCTTTGCCCAGACCACCTGTCCAGGTGCTGTAACTCAGGAGGCGCCCTAAGTGGTCCTCCTCATGGGCTGAGCTCAGGAGCCAGGAGTCCTGGGTCCTGGTCCCAGGGGCTGCTGCCTCGCTCCGTGATTGGGTGAGTCCCTTTGACTGAGGCTGTTTTGCCACCTACAAGCTCTGAGACTCAATAGCAAGCTACTTCCAGCCAAAATGTCACCTGGAATCCAAGACAAGTGAAGGACCCAAGGGACACCTTCAGTGCTATTGTCCAACAAAGAAGGGATAGGGGAGTCCAGCCACTATGTCCTATGGCTACCCTTGGTCCACCCCACCTGGCTGCCAAACAAAAGGAAGCATGGCCCCTCTGGGGCTCTTGGAGCTGAGCCATTCCCCCCCCCCCTTTGACACCCTCTGAGTCTCTCATGACCTGCCCCTCCCCATTCTCCCAGAGGCCCCTTCTGGATTTCTCCCTTGAAATGTCCCCAGCCCCCTCCCAGGGAGGCCAGAGCTGCTGCCTGGTCCTCAGGACCATGTGCCCTGCAAGGGCTGGGCGCGGGGATAGGGGCCAGGGGAGAAGCGGGGGGGCGGGGCGGTCCTCCGACCATTACCTCCAGGTCTCCCTTGGTGATGGACTCCTCCTCCACTCGGAACTGCAAGTCCTCCACCTTCCTGCAGGGGGAGAGGGGGCTGAGCCGGCTGGGCTCAGAGCCGTGGGCCTCACCCCGTGCTCAGACCACGCAGAAGGCACCAACCGTCCCAGAGTCCTGGCTGATGGGGCAGAGCCTCCTGGAAACCTCTAGCCCTCCCAACTGCCGGCCCCGTGCTCTACTCTGAGACCACCGGCTTCTCTAAAACGGAGGCGTGTCAGGCAACATCCTTCCTCCCTAGGGTGGCTGTGGGATGGGGTGGCAGGAGGGGCTGTCCTGCTTCTGCATGAACAGCCCGCAGGGAGGGAGGGAGCGTGGGCTTCTTCCCCTGCTGACCTCACTCTCGTCCCCTCCCCGCAAAATCGGGGCGCCAGAGTCCTGGGGCTGCTCCCCGATGAGTGTCCCCACTGCCCTGCTGTAGGCGTCAGGAGCCACTCTCGGGGAGACACAGTCACCCACCCACGTGCCAAGACCAAGGGGAGGTGCGGGCACATAACCGCTCACGGAGCTGCCCTTCCCGGGGCCTCCTGACAGCTCCCGGCCTGCAGATGGGGAGACGGGGCCCCGGGAAGGGCAAGAGACCTGCCCAAGGCCACCCAGCAAGCCCAGGGGCCCGCACCCAGGCCCTTCATGAACACAACCCCCAGGACATGTTCAAGTTTTTTGTTTGTCACCATGGGAACCAGATGTGTGGGCCCCGAAAACTGTCTCAGGCAGATATAAATAAGCCCTTTCTCCTCAAGTCAGACGGTAACAACAGCCTGTGCTTCACAGGCCTCAGCTGAAAGCCCCGAAACAGCCCCCAAGTGGGGGCTGAGGATGGGGGGCTGCCTGAGGCATGGCGGAGGGGAGGGAGCCCCAGAAATCTGGGTGTCGGCCAGGGGACAGGGAGAGGCCCTGGGGCAAGAGAAGCCCTGTCCCCTGTCGGCTTGTCCCGCTAGGTGACCCCAGGACCAAGTCAGGCCAGAGGCCCCACACAGAGGGAACCACAGTCCCCACTGGCCGCTGTGGCAGGACAGAAAGAACCAGTGTCATCACCAACAGCCTGGTGGCCCCAGGCAAATCCCCGCCCGCTCTGAGCCTCAGTTTCTTCATCTGTGACATGGGGGGGCAATAGCCGCCTCCCGGGCTCATGGTAAGATTGAGAGAGACTACGCAGGCAAGTCCTCAGCCTGGGGCTGACTCCTAGAAGCAAGGTGTTTTGAGGGGCCCTTTGAAGCTGCTTCTCGGAGCCTCGGGGTCCTGACCCAGCCAAGCTGGGAGCTCTGTGGATGCAGCCGGCATGAGGGGGGTCCCCACCCTGCGTGTTCCCCTCGGGATGCGCTGCACGGGCCGGGAGGGCAGGTGCAGCGAGCCCACCCCGCCACCACCATTCAGGAAGGAGAACGGTGGACGGATGTGGTGAGGCATCAAGCCTGCAGAGATGGGGATCATCACCCCACTTTGCAGATGAGGGGCAGGCCCACAGAGCTCAGATGTCCCCCAGGCCCAGGGCAGGGGTGGTGGCCCATACCTCCTCTCCTCCTCCAGCTGGTTGGACAGGTCTACCTTCTCCTTCCGCACGCTCTCCACCAGCAGCCGGGCCCGCTGCAGCTTCTCCTCAGCTTCTGTAACATACTGGGCCCCGAGCAAGGGCCAGCGCAGCGTCAGCCTCCTCCCGGGCCGGGGTCCAGGCGGGGGAGGGCTGCGAGAGAGGCGTGGGGGCGCGAGGAGCCGGGCCTGCCACTCGGGCCACCCCCATCGGTGGGGCACAGACCGTGGGCCTCGCTGTGAGGGAGGAGGGCATGGCCGAGCGCCAGGAACGGCAGAGGCCAGCCTCACCCAGTGGGAACCCCAGGTCCACCTGTCCCCAGTCCCCAGCACCCCAGTGCCTGCCACGTCCCTCGACCCCTAAGAACCTAAGACCTGCTGTCTTGGGAAGGCCTCTGTCCCAGCACACACGGGAGCCTGGCCTTAATCATCCCAGCACTTGTCGGCGGGCTGAGCCAGGCTCCTGGTGGGGATGGGGACCCAGGAAGGATCTGTCACGTAGGAGACAAACATCTCCAGCAGGGAAGAGAAGGCAAGTGATTGCAGCAGACCCAAGTCGACGGGCGAGGGCGCCCTGCCCCGAAACCCAACCCACGGATCTACTTGAAAGCACGATCTGAAACGTGGACGGGTGTAGACCAAAAAACGTGTACATGAGTATATTTAGACAATGTGAGTAATTGGAAATAACTTGAGCCACCACAGGGGACCGGCCACGTTGGCAAAGACACAGCTCGTGGTAGATGGCCACACAGCCTCGGAAACAGGGAAGAATTTTCCATGACCTAGAAAATGCTCCCACTCTAGTTAAGTAGGAGAAAGCACGAGATGGCCAGGCTCCAGATCCACCAGGGGGAGGGCTGAGGGGGGAGGTCGGGATTCTCGGCATGAAGGTGGCCCACAAGGCGGACCCTCTGGGCACCCCCCACCCGCCGGCCCCGCCGGCCCCGCCACCTGCTCGTGCTGCGCCTTAAGCAGGGCGATTGCCTTCTCCACTTCGCAGATGTGGCTCGTGGCCTTGGCCACCTCGGCCCGCTCCAGGTCCCGCTCAGCCAGCAGCTGCTCGATGTGTTGCTGCTTTTCCTTTAACGCCTCTTGCAGGGCAGTCGTGCCCGAAATCTTGCGGGCATAGCGCGAGGAGGTCTCCGTGAGCTGCAGGAAGGCGCGGGTGCGGGCAGGACTCAGGGATCTGGAGCACCATCCGGACAGCAGCTCGAGCGCCTCGCCTCCCAGGGCCCTGCTCCTCCCGGCCAGCGCCCTAGAGGCTCTACGTAGGGGGATGTTCGAGATCCATGGAACTCCCGGTTCTCGGGGGAGTCATGGCCCCCGACAGTCACAGCACCTGGGCTCTGCCTCATGTGGACTCCCTCACCTGGGCCGCTTTCTCTGCACACATTCTAGACTCTCAACCTAGCCTCAGCTTGCACAGAAGGCCCTGTGCCCAGCAGGGCAGCCTTGCCTTCTCCCCTCACCCAGGGTGCCTCTGGCAACCTTGAACCCCCTGCCCTGCACCTGCCCCCACCCATAATACCTGTCCTATATCTGTATGACCCGCCTTAACTCCCAGGAAAGGGGTTAGGGTTAGGCTACTGACAAATCAGTGACATAAAAATAACAATAAATGTAAATGGATCAATCTTTCCTATTAAAAGATATCAACTTTCTCATCTTTTTTTTTTTCTTTTTTAAGTAAACTCTATGCCCAATGTGGGGATTGAACTCATGACCCTGAGATCGAGAGTCGCATACTCCACTGACTGAGCCAGCTAGGGGTCCCTAAGCTTTCACCTGTGTTCAAAAACCCATGGAGAGAGACCTGGAACCAGAGCAAGTCAGGGGAGACTGGGACACCTGGATCCTTCTGTCCCTACCCCCCCTACACCCACACACCAGGGTACCCCTCCCTGGCTCCACCCTCACCAGTCCGCTGCGGCTGGGCCGGCCCCCCACGGAGGAGGCCACAGAGCTGACGGAGCTGATAGAGGAACTGCTGGGGCTGTGGGTCAGTGCCGAGACACCCATGGCCATGCGCTTGGTCTTCTTGGCCTTGGCCGGGCTGGTGGACGGGAAGCCGATGCGGATTACCTTGTGGATGGGCGCGAAGAGACCAAACTTGGGTGGGCACTGGAAGTACCTGGGGGAGGCAGGAGAGACCCACACTGCCGTCATGGCCCCATGGCCCAGAGCCGCCTCTAGCCTCCCCTAGCCTCCCCCAGCAGAGAGGCTTGTCCTTGGGGTCCCAACAACCTCACCCCACGACCAATAGATGGGACTCCCAGAAAGAGAACAGAGGGGAATAGGGCCCGAGATTCTCTGCAGCCATAAATAGCCATTGGGCATATTTAGGAGGAGCCAGGAGTTATAACAATTACCCAGTACCCACTCTGCACCGGTCCCTTTATGTGAGTGCTCATTTCTATCTCCCAGCCACTCTACTCTTATCCATGTTTCACAGATGAGATTTAGGCTCAGAGAGGTTAAGGAACTTGCCTGAGGTCACACAGGAGGCTAAATGGCAATGCCAGGACTGGACTCCCCAGTCTTCTGGGCTTGGCTCCCACACACCATTCAGAGCACCCCCCCAGCCCTATCTGTAGCCTCCACTCTCACGACTGCCCCTGGGCCACCCCAGACCCAAGGAACCCCACTGAGCCCTGCCCATGGAGCTCCCAGCATGGAGCAACCAAAGCCTGAAGGAGACACCTTGGAGGTGGGGGCTGCTGCCCCACCTGCCCCCAAATTCTGAAGGCAAGAGTGAGTTGAGAGAAACACCCATCTTGCAAACAGGAAGGCACAGTGTTGCCACAGGAACTCGGGACTATCTTCTCTCAAAACCTCTCGGGACACAGATTCCACACGGGACCGGGGAGCTGGTTCTGTCCAGTTCTTGCCTTGCCTTGAAAGTGCCTCCCCATCCCGCCTCCTCCTGCAGGCAGCTCTTTGCCAGGACCGTCCCCCCTGCGTAGCAGACCTTCCTCAAGCCTGCTGCAGAAGCAAAAAGCCTACTTTCCTGCAAGAGCTGGGTGAAGTATGGCTCCTCCCCTGATGGCTTGGCCTGAACCACAGTCACCAGTCCTTTCCAGATCCGTCACAGCCCAGCCTAGGGACAGCCAGCGTGGGCAGTGGGGCCCCACGACCCTGGCAGACGCTGCTCACCCAGAACCTCACACCCCCGGCCCCAGCCTGCCACCCTCCCAACCCAGCCTTCCCAGCAGCCAGTTCCCTCTCATCAGAGAGGGCGTGAGACCTGGAGCCCAGCTGTGACCCTATCCGGGGCTGTAGGGCACTGGACAGTGTTGGATTATTTCCTGTGTCACCTGGGGGTCTCCCGGGAGGCCGGTACCACTCCCTCTCGTTTCCACAGCTCCCACCCCACATAGCCTCATGTGGCATGCAAGAGGGAACACAGAACCAACGACTCTCCTAGCACTTGCCCGTGACTCTGCCTGACCTTGAGCAATGACCTCTCTGGCCTCTGTTCTCTCGTCTGTAAAATGGGGATGCTATTCCTCAGACAGAAGGAAGGTGGCAGCACCTCTACCGTGGTGCCTGGCTCAGCTACCCAGAGCCTCAACACGGGCTTCCTCAGATGCCCCAGCCTCAGCCTCCACACCCATCCCAGGTGAAGAGAAGCTCCCTCCCAGGCACCCCGGGGGAAGTCCACCATACCTGGTGCCCGCCACCGCCCCATCATTCTTCCCAAGGGGCTCGTCCAGCTCCACGCCGCACCACTCGCCCTTGGCAAAGTCTGTCTCCCCCACGTACCGCACCACGCCAGTCTTCGTCCCGCCAACCTGTTGGCACACAGACAGACTCAGGTCCGGAGGATGCAGTGGGCCCAGGCAGAGACGGCCCAGGTGCCCAGGCTCATCCCATCTCTCGCTTCCAGTGTGCAGGGGACAGGGAAGGTGGGGGTGAGGAGGAGAGAGGCCCAAGGGCAGTGGGGAGGGATACAGGTAACACCAGGGCTTCCCGGGGCTGTCCCATGCAAGAGCTTTGGAGACAGACAGACCTGCATGGAAACTCTGCCACGTACAAGCTGTGCGAGCTTGGGCAAATTACCTGACCTCTTGGAGCTTCAGCGTCTTCATCTATAAAAAGCATTTGTTTTGGGCGCCTGGGTGGCTCAGTTGGTTGAGCGACTGCCTTCAGCTCGGGTCATGATCCTGGAGTCCCGGGATCGAGTCCCGCATCGAGCTCCCTGCTCGGCGGGGAGTCTGCTTCTCCCTCTGACCCTCCCCCCCACCATGCTCTCTCTCTCTCTCAAATAAATAAATAAAATCTTAAAAAAAAAAAAAAAGCATTTGTTTTATCTTCCCCCCCGAGGATTAAATACTTAGGTGCAGTGCCTGTCACATACTAGAGTGTCAATAAACATCATCCTTAAAAATGGTTAAATGGTGGTCACCAGGGGCTGGGGGAGGGGGAAATGGGGAATTGTTTAATGGGAATCGAGTTTCGGTTTTGCAAGACGAAGACGACCTGTAGATCGGGTGCACAGCAATGTGAATGCACTTAACACTATTGAATGGTACATTTAAGGATGGTCAGGAAGGCTGATTTGAGGGGTGCCTGGGTGGCTCAGTTGGTTAAGCATCTGCCTTTGGCCCAGGTCATGATCCCGGGGTCCTGGGATCCAGCCCTATGTCAGGGTCCCTGCTCAGTGGGGAGTCTGCTTCTCCCTGTTCCTCCCCCAGGCTTGTGTGCTCTCTCTCTCGCAAAAATAAATTAAAAAATCTTCTAAAAATAAAAAGATAAAAAGCCCTAGAAGTTTCTCTACCTCACTCCAGAAGCAAACATTTCAACTCTCTAGGCTGAATTTTTTGGTAACTCCCGATTTCTAAATGACACACTTACAATGTTATTTCTTGATTTCTCAATTTTGGGTTACCCCCCTCAACTTCCCATCCAGGAAGGGGAGACGTCAGCTCCCCTTCATCACTGCCTCATATGCATCTGCGCTCACACGTCCTGACTCTACCCCCTTTCCAAGCAGCGAGGTCTCGATTTTGATCGGATTCCAGGTTTACCGTTCCAGAGACTAAGTAAACGCTGCTCATGGATGAGTATGGGAGGCTGCAGGTGCTTTTTCCTTGCCGGCACAAATTTTTCCCTCCAGATAATTGTCTTTTATGATCATTTGTTTGCCTAGCCTTTACAGACTTAACACTCATTCCACCCCAGGGGCGCCTGGGTGGCTCAGTCATTGGGCGCCTGCCTTCGGCTCAGGTCCTGATCCCAGGGTCCGGGATCGAGCCCCGCATCGGGCTCCCTGCTCCGTGGGAAGCCTGCTTCTCCCTCTCCCACTCTCCCTGCTTGTGTTCCCTCTCTCGCTGTGTCTCTCTCTGTCAAATAAATAAATAAATAAAATCTAAAAAAAACCCCTAATTCCACCCCAAACTTTCTCATTTGGGAAAGGCCTGGGGAATTCCATCAAGTTCTTTCTGAAGAAGACCCTCCTGCAGCCACGTGACCTACCATGGGGCCACCAGCCTCGCCTCTTCCTGCACCATCGCCCTGAGGAGTCCCTTCGCCTCTCCTGGGCTGGACCCCATTTCCTAGATCCTAGGTCTTCCATTTTTCTTGGTTTACTTCCTTATTTTTGGTCAAACACATCCCCCCAGGGCTTTTAAAGAAAAGGTGCATGAGGAAATAAACTCTTCAAACCTTTGCAATTTGGGACACTATTTTTTACTCTAGCCTCCCTTTGGCTTAATCAAGGTAAAAATTCAGGTTACATCAAATTCACCATTTTAACCAGTATAAAGCGTACAATTCAGTGGCTTTTAGTTTGCAACCATCACTGCTATCTGATTCCAGAACATTTTCATCACCCCCAAAAGGAAACCCCATGCCCAGGAGCAGGCCCCCACCCCCAGCTCCTGGCAACCACTCATGTACTTTCTGTCTCCATGGACTGCCTTATTCTGGGCATTTCCTATCAATGGAATCACCAGTATGTGACCCTTTGTGTCTAGTCTTCTTTCATTGGCATAGCGTTTGCCAGGTTCCCCATGCTTATCAGCAGCAGTATCATTTATCAGCATCATTCCTTTTTATGGCTAAATAAAATTCCAGCGTATGGATTACATCACATTTTGTTTGCCGGTTCATCCACTCTCGGACATTTGGGAGGTTTCCACTTTTTTGGTCAGTGTGAATAACATCCCTGTACAAGTCATAGTGTGAACACTTGCATCCCTCACTCTTGAGTGAGTTTGGCCGGGTCCCTTCCTTCAGGATTTCGAAGGTGTCCGTCTTCCAGGGCTGTTGATGAGACGTTTCAAGCCCATCTGAGTCCCGATCCTGCAGGTGAGCCCATCTGCCCGCTCCAGAAACCTGGAGGACTCGCTCTCTGGCCCAGGGTTGTGCAGATACACAGTGAGGTGCGTTGGTGGGAGCCTCTTCCCAACCCCCTTCCCGCACTCCCATGGACCCTTTCAACCAAGAAACCCTTGTCCATCCTGGGGAATTTCCCCACATTCCCTACTTGACTTCCATCCTCCTTTTCCTGTTTTCTCTTTCTAGAACTGCTGCATTTGGAAGTTGGATCCACTGGACAGGTCCTCTGAGTCTTATTTTCTCTCCTGTTTCCATCTGTCTTTTGGTTCTACTTTCTGGGCAATTTCCTTAAATTCATCTTCTAAGACTTCTGTGTGGTTTCTTGTATGTGTAATCAGATTTTTTTCATTTCCCAGAGCTTTTTTGTGCACTGTCTTATATTCAGTGGTGTTCTGTTCAGACTTAATGCCTGTGTGACCTTCTCTAATTTCCCAGAGGACCGGCCACTGTCCCCAGCAAAGCTTCTTGTGTTCGCCGAGGAGGGCATGGGCTCAGTGACCAGAGTTCTAGAAGCAGCCAGCTGGGAAAGGGGCTCAGCCTTCAGGATCCAAATGTTCACTGAATCCTCCTTTTTAAATCCAACCTGCCTGGGATCCCCCCCCCATCCCAAAACTCTGCCCGACCCGCTCAGGAGATGAAGTGTCCGTCTGAGGGAGGGACGGTCACCAGGCAGAGTGGGGCAGGGATGGGGCGTCGGAAGAGTTTTCAGCCAATTCTCCTGTTTCTGGCCCCGACATCAGCCCCATTTCCAGAGGCCACCATGCGGCCGACTCCTGAGCCTTGGCTTTCTGAGGGAGACATCGATTGCTTCTCTGCTCTTCTGACTGCTGACCATGGACTCGGCCACCCTGGGTCTCTGGTGTCATTGTTGCTGTCCCCTCTCTTGTTCTCTTTGTCCTTGAGGCTTTAAAAAAAAAAAACCCTTCCCTGCCGTTCTAGGGCAGGTTCAGGAAAACGCGCAAGCAAACGTGCATGTTGATCTACAGCTTTTGTCTGAACCTCAAAGCTACCTCCTCTGACACCCCTCTGTAGGCCTCCCGTGGACCGGCTCGCCAATCAAAACTCCCTCCACTCCCACACAGACTGTGTGCTGGGCATATTGAAGACATGAATCCTAAACCTCCCAACTCTGTAGGCGGGGTGGGGGGGCAGCGTTACCCCACTCCCAGATGAAGAGACAGAGGTTCAGAGTGGTCTGTGAGTGCTGGTGCCCGATGGGCTTCCCTCTCCTGCTTCTTCAATCCTGGCTGGGCACAACGACCAGGCCCCACTGTCCCAGATCCCCACTACCCCCAGGTGGGGGATCTGTGGCTAGAAGTGCACTTCCATCTCCTGGCGGGCCCAGGGAGCTCTGCTTCACCCTCGGTCCGCAGCGGCCTCTGGGCCCCAATCCTTCCCTCATCCCTCCCTCCTATAGCACAACGGAGCCAGGCGGGTATTCGCTCAGAGGTGGGAGCAAGGCAAGAAACAGTGGAAAGGCTTCCAGAAGGGATGGGTGTGGTGCTGACCCTCCAGCCAGGTCAGCACAACCTTGGGACCCTCGTCCCCCTGCGGCGCCTGAGATGCTGCAGTGATCACTCACCAGGACTCCACCTGGGTATGGCAGGCCCCACCCCTCCAGACTAAGGATCTGCCTCTTCTCTTTTATTTCTTATATTTTAATCTTTTCTTACTTTATTTAGTATTCAATTTACTAGAAAATTAATGGATTTTTGGTGACGATTTTAGGTTTATAGAAAATGTGACCAGAAAACACAGAGCGTTCCCATAATATCCACGCGCCTCCTTCCCCTCCGCCGTCCCCGCTTATTAACCCCTTGCGTTAGCGTGGTACATTTGTTACAGTGAGGAACTAGTATTGACACGTGATTAAGAACTGAAGTCCACAGTTGACATCAGGGTTGACTTGTGGTGGTAGACGTTCTGGGGGTTTTGACAAATGTATAATGACAAGTATCCACCAATATAGGATCATACAGAGTAGTTTCAGTGCCCTAAAACTCCTCTGGGCTGCACCTGTTCATCCTGTCCTTCCCCCAGCCCATAGCAACCGCTAATCTTTTTACTGTCCCCGAAGTTTGGCTTTTCTAGAATGTCAATAGTTGGAATCAAAGCACCGTATGGAACCTTTTCAGAGGGGCTTCTGTCCCCGAGCAATCTGCATTTAAGGTCCCCACATGTCTTTTCATGGCTTGATAGCTCCTTTTTTTTGGAAGATTTTATTCATTTGAGAGAGAGAACAAGCAGGGTAGGGGGCAGAGAGAGAGACAGAAGCAGGTGCCCCGCTGAGCAGGGAGCCCGAGATGGGGCTCAATCCCTGGACCCTGGGATCATGACCTGAGCCAAAGGCAGACGCTTCACCGACTGAGCCACCCACGCGTCCCCTATTAGCTCCTATCTTGACGGCCTCGAAGAACATTTCCTTGTCTGGATGGAGCAGTTTATTTATCCACTCACCTACCGCAGGAGAGCTCCTGATGCTCGCTAAGAGAACTCCTCCCTCGCATCCACCCCCACCGTGCACTGAGTCCCAGCCTCCCGAGGGAGGACTCCCAGGCCTCCTCTTTTCCACCACCTGTGGGTTTTCAGGGCCCAGAGTCCCTGCCGGCCTGGGCCAAGCACCAGCTAAGGTCCAGGGTCTCATGGAGCAATGGCGGGGGGCAGACTGAGTTCATCTGTTTCTCGGGGACTTTCCTATGAGGAAGTCAAACTGGTGACTCACTTAAAATGCTCGCCTCTGCAGCCGATCAGGGTGAGAGGACAACGCCCCAGAGCTGTTCAGCTCTGCCGTCAGGATGCGGGGGGCAAGCCGGCCCCCCTTGCAGGGCTGCTGATGGTACAGCGAGGGGCTCATGGGAGCGGCACCTGCGGGAGTGTGCAGAAGCAGGGATGGGGTGTGCCGGCAGGAAAAAGGCTGGCTGGGGAGATGGGTCGCTCTTGCGGAGTGGAGGGGACAGAGGTGGGCGGCCCTCGGGGGTCCTCTGCAGAGCTCAACAGCAACCAGTGAGGGGAAGCTGGGGCTCAGCCAGCCTGTGGAACCCCAACATGGTGCCCGTGGTGCCCCTCTGGCTCGGGACCACCCACGGGGCCCTGAGTCATTCATGCAGCAGGTACGTTCCAGCACCTTCCTGGCTCCAGTAGGCACTGGGGGCACAGCTGTGTGGGGCTCCTGGCTGTGGCAGGAAACAGGCAGTGGGGGAGGAAGGGAATAAATGCTCTTAATCCAGGTGGTTGGCAGGGGCTAGGCAGAGTGACATCAGAGGCCTCTATCTCTGAGCGCCCATGACGCAGAGCCTAGTGGAAGTGGGACAGCGAGCTGTGGGAAGCCCTGGGGGACAGTGTCCCCGGCGCAGGAACCGGCTTGGGACACTGGAGGAAAGGAGAGTGGGCTGGTGCAGCCGGGCCCGGCCAGGATGGAGGGAAGACAAGCTGGGTCATCTGATGGTGGGCAGGTGGGTCACAAGGGCCCGGGGGCCATGGGAAGGCAGGTGGGTTTTATCCCAGGTGAGATGGGAGCCTCTGGGGGTGCTGGGACCTGGGTGGGGAGTGCAGGGAGACCAAGGAGGTCTTAACTAGTGCATGGACCTCAGGAGGTAGCATTGAGGCCCCAGTGAAACCAGGATCCATAGGTATCTTTGAAGAACAGCACAACTTAGTGAACATAAACACTGCTCATGCCTTTGACCCCGTTCAGAAGCAGGTGTTGTAGTTGGTGAAGCTAAGAGCTTCTACACCAGCCGTTTCCAAGTCCCCTGGGAAGGGCCCTGATTATGCATGTACAGGATCACAGGATTTAGAAACTGTGCAAAGCAATATTTTTGGGGGGTATTGTTTTTCCTAGAGTCCCTGTCCTCAAACAAGTTCCGGCCTCTATAGTCACCCACATCCAGCCTATACTTTTTTAAAGGGCGGGGTAGGGACAGGAAGGTGATGTGGCAGGTGTCTACAGCGGGCACGCGGGGAAGCAGCAAGTTGGGGGGTCGGTCAGGCCAGCTGGATCCTGGCAGTGAACAGCGGACCGGGCTACAGGACTAACCCTAGAGAAGCTGCAGACTAGGGTGAGATAGGGGTGGGTGGGTGGAGTTCCATCCACCCGGCAGAAACAAACCCCATGTTCAAGTTTTCTCCCCCACCCAGAATCCAAGCATATCCTGCTTCTAGGGCAGCCACAGTTGATGAGTATAAATAGAGGAATGAATGGTCTATCGCCTCCCGGCTGTGTGACCCTGGGCAGGCTGTGTGATCCAGGGCTGAGCTCAGTTTTCTCATCTGTAAAATGGGAGGATAATTCCCACCTTCTAAGGCAGCAGGCAGGACCCAAAAGGACTAGGTATAGAAAGTGCTGGGTACAGTGCCCGGGGTGAGCGACACCCCCAAGAAAGCAGCGGGACCTCAACAGGGCCTGTCCACTCTGGCTGCTACCAGCCCTGCTGATGGGCTAGGGCCTGGCAGACCCTTCTAGAGCAATGCCCACGTCGTGCGGGCTTGTATGCCCCCTGCCCTGCACGTCCAGTTCCCACCCCTGAAGGGGGAGCAGGTGCAAGGGGAGAGTTCCAGACAGGATCAAACTGGGGTTCAACCTCCCTGCTCCCCCAGCCTGGGGACCAACCAGAGCTGGCCAAACTGCACCCCCCCAGCCTCCACTTCCTCCCCCAAAGAGGTTGCAGACCACACCCAGGGCACTCACGTGACACTAACCAGACCCTGAGAGTCCAGCCTCCCCTGTCCCACAGCAGGCCCTGGACACTCCCCTGGCTCCACTACTGCCCCCTCCCATCCTGTCCCCACAAAACAGCAAGCAAGATGAGCTTAAAGCATGGATCTGCTCATGCTGCTGCATAGAGCCTTCCATGGCTCCCTCTGCAAACAGAGCAAACCCCCTCCACCCCGGCCCCAGACATGCAGGGTCAGTGCACGCCAGCCTCATGGGCACTTTCCTGCCCCAGCTCCCTTGCTCCTGGCTCAGCCCCGCTACTCTTCTATTTCTCTAGTTCATTCCCTGCATCTCAGTCCTAACACCGGGCCTTGGAAATGCCTACCACCAGGTCAAGCCTCCGTGATGGGCTCTCAGAGCACTGTGTTTCTTCATGGCACTTATCCAGATTCACAAGGAAACACGGATGTCTGCAATCACATGCATCACAGTCTCCATCCCCTGATGGACTATAAGCCACTAGAGGAGGGGGACCAGGTCTGGCCACGCCCACCACCAGATCACCGCAGCGGGTGATTCTGTCCACAGGGAAGCAGGCTGGTAAGCTGGCCCTGGGGCGGGGGGTGGGAGGGTAGACCCCAGACAGATTACCAGGGTAGAGAGACTCAGGAAGGCAGGCTTCGGGGGCTGGTTTGCATCTTGGCAAGTTACTACGCAAGTTCTTAAACTTTTCTAAGCCTCAGTGTCTCCATCCACAAAGTGGGGATAAAATTATATCACAGTGTGGGCTTGAGGATCCAACAAGGCAATGACCGTAAACATTTCCTCTCATCCCCCTGCCCCAGCCCAAATGCTCTTCCCAGGAGCCTCCAGGGGGAACCTTGGCCTTAAGTGAGGTCCTCGGGGTAGGGAGGGAGAATCCCAGGCAGCGATACCCTCCTGCGGTCCCCACAATGGGCCCTTCCCGACTCAGCCTTGGGGCTCCCAACATGTGGTCGCCACTGTCCCCCAGGAAGATTCTCTGACAAACATAGGGACCTCTCCCCCCAGCTGACTACCTCACAGTGGCTCCTCACACCCAAGCCCACCAGACCCCCTTCTGGGACTGTCCCATGTGTTATTCTCTCCTTCCCAACACTGTGGGTTTTTTTTTTAAAATTTTATTATGTTATGTTAGTCACCATACAATACATCATTGGTTTTTGACGTGGTGATCCATGATCCATTGTTTTCGTATAACACCCAGTGCTCCATGCAGTACGTGCCCTCCTTAATACCCATCACCGGGCTAACCAATCCCCCCTCCCCTCTAAAACCCTGCTTCTGGATGGGACTGGAGGAGATTATGCTAAGTGAAATAAGTGAAGCAGAGAAAGTCAATTATCATATGGTTTCACTTATTTGTGGAACATAAGGAATAGCATGGAGGACACTAGGAGAAGGAAGGGAAAAATGAAGGGGGGGGGAATTGGAGGGAGTGATGAACCATGAGAGACTATGGACTCTGAGAAACCAACACTGTGGGTCTGGGAGGGCCACCCCAGCTCTGGGCTTGGCATAGCAGGACAAGACCCCATCCGATCATCACCTTGCCACCCCCAGACCAGGCCTGGCCACAGCAGGTGACAGGGAAGAACTGCCTCGTCCAGACTTGGGAAGGATGGATCCAGACTCAGAAGGATTTGGGGGCCACTGCCCCCTTGCAACCTGGCCCCAACGCCAGGGACCACCAGAGAAGAGGGGTCCCTGGCAGGAAGACTCAGCTGGAGGTCCCCCTGGCTTCAGTGACCCAATTCACTCCCCCACAGCAATAGCGATCCCTGTGTCACAGCAGATTAGGTGTGACGGGGCCAAGGATCTCGAGTGCTCCCGTCCTCAGCCTTTTCCAGTACAGGGCGCATCCACGCTGGTGGGCTGGATCATTGGAGGATATCAGCAAGAGCTAACATACACGTATTCTCGCATTCCAACCCATTTTATCAATGGGAAGACTGAGGCCCAGAGAGGTTAAGACACTTGCCCAGGATCACACAGCAACAGTCTCCAGAGCTCACTTTACTTGCGTCCCCGGTCACTCTGTGGTTCTGATGAGGCCTGAGAGCCCCAGCCTGGACCCCGCCCGAGCCCCCCAAGTCCCCATCCCGCCCCCACGCCCACCCCCGGGGTCCAGCCTGCAGGGAAGGCGGGGCGGCAGTGGGGGTAAGGAACTCACCAGCACGCGGTCTCCCAGGCGCAGGTCCTTGTCACCACGCTTCACGGAACCGCTGTCCGAGAGGTTGGAGCCGGATTCGTTCCCGGTCTTGACCGAGCTGTTGAGGACGCTCTCCCGCAGCGGGATGACCCGGCTGCTGAGCGGTGGCGTGGCCGTGCCCGAGTGCAGCGACAGGTTCTGGGCGGTGAGCGACTCCACCGAGTGCGCGTCGCTGCCCGAGCCCTCGGCCGTGGGCTGCCGGGTGAGCTTGGAGGGCCGCGTGAAGATGCCCTGCAGGGCCGGGCACTCGAAATAGCGCACGCCGCCCACCGCGCCGTCGTTCTTGCCCACCGGCTCGTCCAGCACCACGCCGGCCCACTGGCCCGGCGCGAACTGCGTCTCGCCCAGGTACTGCACCACGCCGGGCTTCACGCCGTTCACCCACACCCGCTCGCCCACCGCGAAGTCCCCCAGGAAGTCATCGCCCACCTCGGCCGCCTTGGGGCCCGGCTTCTCGGCGGGGGCGGGGGCGGCGGCGGCGGCGGCGGTAACCGGGCCGGAGGCCTGCTTGTGCAGCGGGGAGCCTGTCGGGGTGGTGGGGGGAGAGAGCAAGCGGTCAGGGCCTGAGCGGGCACAGGGAGGTGTCTGCGCCGGCTCACGGGGGGGGGGGGGGGGGGGGGGGGAACTGAGGCAGGCGTGGCTGGCCGTGGGGCCTTGGGCGACCCAAGGTCTCTCCCTATCTCCCAGCCCCTCCCGGCAGGTTCCAAGGATTCAAAAGCTCAGCAAAATGCCTCCTCGGGAGCAACACCTTTCACTGCTCAGGGTCACTCAAGATCGAGGGCTGTGAATGAACCCCTTCTCGAGGGTTCCAAGCTGCCACCTCCCTATCCCGGTGGGCCCCAGCCCCTGGCTGTTAACCTGACACCAGCCACGACCCCAGGTGGGCCTTAGATCTTATGAGTGGTCTCTGCGTCTCCCCCACCCCTCTGCCCCAGTCAGCTCGGGGCCCTACAAAAGGCTCTCAGACTGTTCCTGGACAGCTGGTGACAACCACAGACACCTCGGGCCAAGGAAGGGGCCAGAAAACCATCTTGCTCCACTCCAGAGTCTTCTCTCCCTGAGCTGCAGCTGCAAAGAGCAGGAAAAGCGGGGGGCAGAGGTGAGTGGGAGGCAAGCCCGTCTCTGCCGACATTCCCGGGACTGGACTCCAGGCTCTCTGGGCCGAGGGGTGCGCTGGCCCAGCCCCTCATTAGAGGAAGCATGACCCTGAGGCTCCGAGAGGTAACAGCCTTGCTCAAGGCCACAGAGCAGAATCGGGACTCAAACCCAGGGAAGGGGCCTGCCTCCCGGGCCTGGGCTCTGACGGGCTACAGGGGAGGAAGTGGGAGGGAAGAGAAGCCACTAGCTCAAGGTCACTCATAAAAGACAAAGCAGGGCTTGAACGCTCGCTCGTGCTTTGTACTTTGTGCATTATCTGGCTCTTGGGCCTCTCAGGGGGGCCTCCTGCGCAATGGGGCTCAGGAAGCCCGCCCATTCGCACCGGGAGGTCTGCAGGCTGCCCCGCCCCCACTTCCCGCCAGATGCAGCATCAGAGAAGGCCCCATCCTTCTTGACTCCAGAGGCTGAAGCGTGGATGAAACAGAGATGGGGGACGGGAGGCCAGCAGATACTGCCACACCCCCAACAGAGCTGCAGTTTCTAGTCCCTCCCGGGGCCGTGGGGCAATGGCTCCCACCAGCATCCTCCTCTCAGCCTGGCAGAATGGTGTGTCAACACTGGAAGCCAGACCCTCTGGGGGCTGGGGAAGCCACACAACTCCAAGGACAAGCCGGACATACGAGACCAAGCAAAGGGGTTCTCTCTCCGGGACCCTGGGACCCTGGCAGTGGTAACGGGCAAGCATGTGGCACCCAGGGCCTTGGCCGCCAGGATGGGGGTCCTGACCTAGGGGATCTCTCAGCTGTGAGCTGGGAGATCCAAAGGCTTCGCTGCCGAACTTGACTGACAACCACAGTGATCACGGCCGTTCACTGATGCTCTGCGCTGAGAGGCAGACCTACTGCAGTAGCTCATCCAACCCTCCCGGTTAGTCCTGTGAAATAATTTTGTTCTGTCTGATTGCGAGAGGAAGAAACAGGCTTGGAGAGATCAGGTGCTTCACCTAGGCTCCCAGGCAAGAGGCAGCAGAGCCCACCGGCCACAGCCTCCGGCTCTTGGTGTAGGGCACAAAGTCAAACCAAACAACGGGCACTGAGCACCTGCCATGCGAAGCCTCAAACTATAATCACCCCCAATCCCTTGGGCTCCCTTGAATGGACCCGTTTTCCAGAATCTGGCCAAACCCTGCAGTTCCTTACAAGTAGGGAGCAATCTCATCTTTCACTCCATCCTATGTAGGGATGTGCCCCCTTCCATGTCCCATCTAGAGAAGACCCCTGGTGGGGAGGGCCCCCGAGGCGCTCTGCCACCCCCGAGATCCCACCAGGCAGAGGCCATGCTGGCTGAGGAAGCAGGCCCCAGAGCCCCAGAGGCCAGCAGCTCCTAGCCCTACCTGGGGCTCCTCCTCACCTGCACCCTAGTTCCGGGCTGTTCTCAGTGCCTGGCCCATACAAGCGCACAGGGGGCCCTGCCTGGTGTTATTTCGATGAGAATGATTTATACGAAGACTCAACAATTTAAAAAAAAGAAAAAAAACCACAAAGGGTCCTAGGAGGCAGAAGAAAGTCTTCCAGGCAGGTTCCAATGACCTCGGGCAAGGGGCTCCACCCCTGGGTAAAGCGAGGCAGGTGGCTGAGCCCTCTGTAGGTGACATAAACCACGGAAAATAATCACCAGCTCACAGACCTTGTCCTGCTGGTGCCCTGTGCCCAGGCTGAACTCCTGGGGGCCCTCAGTCCTGATCTAGGACAATCCTGTATTATAAGGAGCCTCTGCAGGGATCTGGGAACCCCGTCCATTCCCCGCAGATGAGGCGGGCACCTTCTTTAGGAAAAGCTGCTCTGAAAAGCAGTCCTAGGTGGAGGAAGCCACAAATGAGAAGATGGCCCAGCCCGCGCCCTCCTCATAACGCTGCCCAAGGAGCCGCGGGGACCATCAACAAGGGGCCAACGCTGTGGTTATTAAGACCGCAGATGGTATCTATGAAGTACCAGCGCCCCAGCCCTCGACGGACTGGACACGTCCTCTACGTTATTTTTTTTTTTTTAAAGATTTTATTTATTTATTCATGAGAGACAGAGAGAGAGAGAGGCAGAGGGAGAAGCAGGCTCCCAAGGAGCAGGGAGCCCGATGTGGGACTCGATCCCAGGACCCTGGGATCATGACCTGAGCCGAAGGCAGACGCTTAACGACTGAGCCACCCAGGCGCCCTCAACGTTATCTTATTGTGCAGATTAGGAAGCAGGGGTCATGACTCTTGTCCAAAGGTGCCCAGGCAGGTGTCAGGCCCACCTGGTCTGGCTCAGAGCCCTCCCCCTTGTAGGCACCCCCACGCTCGCGTGCGTGGCACGTGCCCTTCCCATTTCCGTTTCTAGAACACTTTGTGCCCCGGGGCTCCGTGATGTCCACGAACTGACCTGGGCAGCTGTGGTGCAGGTAAGCACCTGTGTCTACTTGGTCTCTGCTTGGAGCCCAGAAGAGGGTCCCAGGTCGAGGGGGACCCAGCGTGGCTATTCTCGGCGAGAAGCTGCCCGCCCAGCTGTCCCCCTCCCCAGCTGTCCCGGGCTAGGCAGACCTCAGGTAATCTTTCTGCCCCGCCCCTCCCAAGGTCACAGGCCCAGAGACCAGTTGTTCCAACAGCTGCTCAAATCCAGGTCACAAGCCCGCGGCGACCGCGCTTGGGGGGTTTCGCTTCATTTTTCCTCTTCGGCGCCCTCAGCTGCCCCAGCCTCATGGGGACAGACCCTCGTCAAATGCCCGACTCGTGCTGGGAAGCCTCTGGAGGCCTGGGCTCGGGAAGGCAAGAAAAAGCGGGACAGAGCCCCGTTCCCTCCAGGGAGCCATTAGTAACTGGGGCCAGGCCTGGCCAAGCCCCTTCCCCTATCCGGGCCTGTTTCTCCGAAGGATGACAAAGGGCTGAGGCAGGAACAGCTGGGACATGATGGTCTCCCATCCCACCTGTTCTCTCAGAGCCACCAGACCTGGCCGGCTCCCCCGTCACACCCCCGGGGCCCCGAAGCTCCCTGAGGGCAGGGCCTGGGCGCCCCCCCACAGCCCCTGCCCCTGGCATGGAGCAGCCTGGTCCAGGGAGCCCCTAAGAAAGCAAAGGGCAGCAAGAAACTTAACCCTCTCTTGGCGCTTGGTCCTTTCCCCAGACTCCAGGCACGAGGGAATTTACTGCGGGTTTCAAGTTCAAAGCAGGACTTTGAAGAATAAGGCCGAGGGGCCTGGTGCGGGGTGGCGGCAGCTGGTGGCCTGTGGGGGGGGTGCGGGGGGGGCACGGCGGGGGGGGGGCGGGGGAAAACACACCCGCCCCTCCTCCTCCTGCAGGGGCTTGGGTCCCACCCTGCCCGGGGAAGCGGAGACAGGCCGAATCTCAGCTGCCAGGGACCCTGTTCTCCGAGCACCCAGGGTCAGACACTGAGAACCACAGGCACGGCCAAACAGGGGCCCGGCAAGGGAGTGGGGTGCAGATAACAACTCAGAGGGCCACCTCCCTGATGGGGAGGAACCTAGATCCATGGGGGCCTGGGGCTGGGGAGAGAAGGCTCCCTGTGAATGCGGGTGCGAGTGCCTTCCAGAACCTCTGCCCTGACAATCACACAGCTCACTCCTCACCTCCTCAGAGAAGCCTTCCCTGATTGCTTCTTTTAAAAACCAGTCCACCTACATCGGCCTCCACTCCCTCCATCATCCTTCCAGAGATTTATCTCGTATGTCACCGTGTACGCGTGCCCCCCCTTACTTGAACAGACGCTCAGGAGGGCCCTGTTTCCACTCTAGCACCCAGGCTGGCAGGCCCTCAATGCAAGCTGCCTGCTCAGAGCTGGTCCCGCTCCCAGAAGGAGGGGCCGCCACGACTCTGCGCTGGTGTATGGATTTTTCACATCCCCGAGCGGCAGAGAATCGGTCCCATTCCTTCCATCTAGGACAGAGGCTCACTCCAGGCAGCTTCTGGTTCACCTCGTCTGCCCCACCCAACCTTTGTACCTCCCTGAGCCCACTGTTTGCCCTGTGTTTCTACAGGAAAGCTAAGTTCTTCTCCTTTTAGAAGCAAACCTCTATCCCCCTTTGGTCTCCCCAGGGACCCGCCTCCCCACTATCTCTTGCCTGTCCCCCCTCTGGCTCTCCATGCGTGCCACAAATACCCCCCAGCCCTCAAAATAACAGCTTCCCCCATTGACACCCCTCCTGCGGCCACCCACTGTCCTTCCCAGCCAACTAGCTCTTCTCCTTCTATTTAAATGTTTAGACTACACAGATCATCCATGTCCACTGCAGAAAAATCAGAAAGCAGACTTACTGATTTTTTTTTAATGAAAGCACCTATAGCTCCGCCCTACAAACACAATTACAGTTAATATCTTGAAGTATGTTTCCCCAGACTTTATCTGGTGCGTGGACATTGCATACACAGACTGCGCAC